CAAAGGTGCATACTGGAATGTGTCCAGGGGCGTATACTGCAATGTGTCCAGGAGTGTATACTGGAATGTGTCCAGGGGTGTATACTGCAATGTGTCCAGGAGTGAATACTGGAATGTGTCCAAAGTTGCATACTGGAAAGTGTCCAGGAGTGTATACTGGAATGTGTCCAGGGGCGTATACTGCAATGTGCCCAGGAGTGTATACTGGAATGTGTCCGGGGGTGTATACTGCAATGTGTCCAGGAGTGTATACTGGAATGTGTCCAGGGGTATATACTGCAATGTGTCCAGGAGTGTATACTGGAATGTGTCCAGGAGTGTATACTGCAATGTGTCCAGGAGTGTATACTGGAATGTGTCCAGGGGTGTATACTGCAATGTGTCCAGGAGTGTATACTGGAATGTGTCCAGGAGTGTATACTGAAATGTGTTTAGAGGCGTATACTGCAATGTGTCCAGGGGTGCATACTGGAATGTGTCCAGGAGTGTATACTGGAATGTGTCCAGGGGCGTATACTGGAATGTGTCCAAAGGTGCATACTGGAATGTGTCCAGGAATGTATACTGGAATGTGTCCAAAGGTGAATACTGGAATGTGTCCAGGTATACTGCTATGTGTTCAGGGATGTATACTGCAATGTGTCCAGGGGCATATACCAGAATGTGTCCAGGAGAGTATACAGGAATGTGTTCAGGGGTGTATACTACTATGTGTATATAGGTGTATACTGCAATGCACCATTGGCGTATTCTATAATATCTTCAGGGGCGTCAACTGGAATGTGTTCAGGGGCGTCTACTGCAATGTGTTAAGGGGCGTATACTGGAATTTTTCCAGGGGCGTATACTAGAATGTGTCCAGGCGGGTATACTAGAATGTGTCCAGGAGCGTGTACTGCTATGTGTCCAGGGGCATATACTGCAATGTATCCAGGGGCGTATACTGGAATTTGTCCAGGGCGTATACTGCAATGTGTTNGATTCACAGGGTGTATCAAAATTAAATTCTGTGTAGATCGGATAGACTTTAATATCCTCACACCCTTACACTATCTAGAATATTCCAATGAGAAGCAGCCTTAACCGCTCAATCAAATTGAATATTTCCCCCCCTTTTTTTTATAGAATTTGAGAATTAATTGTGATTGTGCCTCGTTCATAGGAAATGCAAAAACCAATTTAAACATAATAATGCATATTACAATAAGAACTAAAATTAATATAAAACTTTAAATTATAAATTGCTTAAATCTTTCAAGAATTTAATGGCGCCACTATATTTAACATATTTTCTCAACAAAGGAAATAATTTAGTAGTGTTTGATGTACATTTATTTTATGATTCTATAATTTTGAACTTTTTAACTTTTTATATTTTGCGTGTGATCAAAGAGAGAACTCTCATTGGTCGGAATCCAGCAGGGAGCAGGGAAATCCAAAAAGAGAGGATTAAGAATAAAATCAAAAGTGTTCACAGTGGATACAGAGATTGAGCAATCGGGAATAAGAATTTTGAGCTCATCGCTCTTGATGTTTAAAGTTTATGTTTCACAACTTTTTGGTAACTCTTAAAACACTTTATTTTCGTTTTATAAAAAGAAACAGTTACTTTTGTGAAAATGTAAAACAACACTTTGAAAAATCATATTTTGAAAATAAGAACAAAAGAAAAATATATATTGGAACAAAATTATTTATAGAATGGTGAGAGCACATATTATTCACTGAGGACTCGTGAAGAAGTTATTTACACGTCAGTCTTTGTTTACATTACGTTAATAAATAGTTTTATAATTCCTTTATACAAAGCGCTATTGTATGTATTTATGTAACATTGTAAGTCACACGTGTGTGCGTCCCCATCAGTGCACCCTTCTTTTCCACGCATATGATTTGTTAGGTTCTTTGGTTCTATGTCACGGTTAACTAGAAGTCCTGGTTAAAAGTCCAGTTAGTCTTACCTTTGGAACCCATTTTCACCCTTTAGAAGTGTTTTTTTGTATTTTCTATATTATACTCTTTTATATATAAGACCTCTTGAGTACTATTTTTTTTAAAGATTATGAATGAGGAGATTTAAATATGACAGAAAGATTCCGATACTAAGAAAATGCACTTAGATGTAGTTTAATAAATTCAATAAAATCTCGACCTGCATTGTTAGTTAAAAAAGTGTGAGGTTAACAACCTCTTGGTGAATTTGGATGGATGCTACGTTCTTCGGTATGAGTCGTTTTCAACAATTTTCTCCTTATAGACGCAACAGATAGATTAGTAGCGATCACTATCGAATATTTTTCGACGTAAGCCTATAACCCCTTTCATTTTTTGCGAACACTCTCTTTAAGTCGGGACAGATTCATTTTATGTAGAGACCATAGAAAATATCTTAGATTTATTTTCAGTTTAAAAAATGTTGATCCTCTGTTACTTTTCCCCTCAATTCTATTTGAATAAAATAAAAATTACAACATCGCTCGATCAATTAAACTGAAATTTTTTTCAGAAATTAAAGGGTTGCAGTGGGGGGGGGGAACTAATCCTTTTCTGGAATTGAGCTGAATTTCAATATATTTGCTAGTGTAGGGTGCTGCAGAAGTTAATGAACTGTTTTTCTTATCTCTTGAGTGAAAAGACAATGGTTGGGATAATAGTCTAGAGAAGACAAAACATACAGTTTTACAATATATAACCTTGAGCTTCAACAACACGTTTTTAGGGATATTAAACCGGTCTAGCTCTAGCACATATATTTAGGGCTGGACATTAAGAATTTTAGGTTAAAAATAAACAACATTTTTTCAGGTTATTTCCTTCGTTACCTAAAATTATTTCAAATTTCATATTCTTTATATTTAAAGGAAAAAGATTTTCAAAATAAAGTTGTACATAGAAGAGTAAAGGAAAGTTGTAATGTTTCATCTGCTTATTTTGTAGGAATGTTACAGATGATCATACAATGTTTTGCAGAATGTAGGAATGTTACAGATAATCATACAATGTTTTGCAGAATGTAGGAGTGTTACATATGATCATACAATGTTTTAAAGAATGTAGGAATGTTACAGATGATCAAAAAATATTTTGCAGAATGTAGGAATGTTACAGATGATCATACAATGTTTTGCAGAATGTAGGAAAGTTACAGATGATCATACAATGGTTTGCATAATGTAGGAATGTTACAGATGATCATACAATATTTTATAGAATAACACAACAGTCTTTTACCGTTTTCATAAAATATACTCTAACAGACATATCTTTATAATGACCAATAAAATTGAGATATCGCTAATTCTGAAAATCATGTATTTTAGGACACCCAGTACGACTACGTACATAAACATGTATGTACTTGTGTACGTATTCATAAAAAATATACAAATATATAAGTACATTGTACACTTTTCTTAAATCGTTTTAAAATCCCTTGCGGATATAAAATCCAATTTTCTCTAAAGTAAAAAGAATTCATAATACATTCCATCCGTACAATAAACACGTTTTTTTAGAAAACAAATTTTATTGAATCTGATATGAAATGAATAAAAGAAAGAGTATGGGATTGGAATAAAATCTAGGTTTAAGTATCATTTAGATTTGTTCACTTCATATACTATGCATACAAATTCTTTTATTTTCTAAAACTACATATGGAGGAGCTTAAGTAAAAAAAAATTGGGGGAAATTTTTTTTAAAATATCTAACGTTTTATAAATAAACAAAATGCTTTTCCCCCTTTTGAAATTGTTTTGAACTAATTAAAGAGTAGAACAATAAAAAAAGAATAATTCCTAAAGATTTGATGAAAATGGATAAAACATGTTTATGATTGTAAACTGCATTCTGCATAGCCATGAATATATGTTCCTTTTGCTCTTGTTTTTTTCAAATTATAATTTGTTTATGTTTTTGTTACAGACTAGAAGAAACCTAGAATATCCATGAATATATGCCATTGCTCTCGGGGAAATGATAAAAATCAATTTAATTAGGAAGGTGTCAATGCACCTTTAAAAAATGTTTAATTTTGCCAAAAATTTGTATTTTACATTTTTATTTAATTCTTTAAAACCTTTGTTAAACCTTTTTTTGTATTAGAGAAATTGGAAACAATTAAAATGCCCAATTCTAGTATCTATCAGTGATACTAACCAGAAACTATAGAAAACAGTTAGTATGTTCAGCTCTAGTCTGTACCAGAAATACAAACCAGAAACTAGAAAACAGATTAATTACTATGCCTAGCTCTAGTCTATATCAATGTCAGAGATAGAAACTAGAAACCAGTTAATATGCCCAGCTCTAGTCTATATCAGAGATACAAACCAGAAACTAGAAAACAGTTAATATGCCCAGCTCTAGTCTATATCAGAGATACAAACAGAAACTAGAAAACAGTTAATATGCCCAGCTCTAGTCTATATCAGAGATCCAAACCAGAAACTAGAAAACAATTAACATGCCCAGCTCTAGTCTGTATTAGAGATACAAACCAGAAATTAGAAAACAGTTATTTTGTTCAGCTCTAGTCTGTATCAGAGATACAAACCAGAAACTAGAAAACAATTAACATGCCCGGCTCTAGTCTATATCAGAGATCCAAACCAGAAACTAGAAAACATTTAACATGCCCAGCTCTAGTCTGTTTCAGAGATACAGGGTGTCCCACATCAAATTAGACCGCGTCAATGGGTCTAAATTACGATTTGGGGGACAAATCAGAAAATCTAAGAAGAATGAATCATTTTTAAAAACTAAATAAGGTTAATAGAAATTTTTTTGCAGAAAATGCTAGATTTTTCGAGTATTATGTGCGTATTTAGGTGTTAAAGATTGGAGATAATCTAATATGATATGGGACGCTCTGTATAAACCAGAAATTAGACAACAATAAAAGGGACTTCAGCACTAAGAACGCTAGTTCATTCGATGAACCGCCCCGAATTTTAGACACTTTTAGCGTACATTTTCCTTCAAATGTCCTGACGGGCTAGAACAAGTTATGCATAGTATTGTTAAAACAAATTCGAAATATAAGGAAGACGATTGTTCCGACTCAAATGCCGATGTTAATTCCCTGGATGTGTGTGTACACTGAATACACAGAATCCTTTTCCGCCATACAACACACCCCACATGTCAAATCTCCGCTCAACCTAGCTCCCGCTTCACCAGTCAGTCAGCGGAAAACACTCACGAGATTCACAACTCCGTCTCAACCCTGGCTCCTTTGTGATGATGATTCAGATACGGAACCAACAACAGAAGACACTGCTTACACCTAGCTCCGCGCTCCACAAAGTTCCAGAGATCCGGGCGGAACCAGACTTCCTTCCATTATCCTGTATACAGGATAAGTCCGCAATCTCTCCCTCCCACAGGAGAAGGTAACAATAGTTCGCTCCGCAGGAGAAGGTAACAATAGTTCGCTCCGCAGGAGAAGGTAACAATAGTTCGCTCCGCAATGTTCCAGAGATCCGGGCGGAACCAGACTTCCTTCCATTATCCTGTATACAGGATAAGTCCGCAATCTCTCTCCCTTAGACTAAGCCTAGTTGTGAGAAAGCCTGCCGTCAAGATTGATGATCTGCATCACCATCATGAAGTTCTACAAACACCTTCTAACTGATATTCGTCTATAGTTTCTTTATTAATTTCTAAACCAATCAATTTAAGCCCCACTTGGGAAAATATTTCATAACCTTTTGTTTTAATAAATAAAGATTAGAAATACCATTAGATCTCTTTTATTTCATTTTAAAGTCAACAAGTATATACATAAAACCTGACTGTAAAACGTGTGCAGTACACCAAATGAATAACCCCTTTCTAGGCAGATTATTGTGGTAGACTTAATTTTACCCTCCATTAGTGTGGCATGTCCGTGTTACAATAGTTTAAAGAATAATGTGGATATTGTATTTACATTTATACCTGAAATAGCTTGATACTCAATTTTCTGCTATAACAATAAGGATATCTACGTTATCTTTGCTAGGACAAATCTGTAAAGGTATCGTTGTGAATCTGACGTGCCACTTTGCAAAGGGTGGATCACTTAAAATTACATCCTCAGTCCCTTTAGCAGCTCTAGTCGATACCAGAGATACAGGCCAGACAATCCTATAATAAATATACTTAATGGATCTTATTAATGTGCAATTAAGGATTAGAAGGAAAAGGTGGAACAGCAAATAATACAAAACAGAAAAATTGGAAAATATATGGGGAAATGGGTTGACTTTAGGGGAAAAATGGCGAGTATAAAGGGGGGGGTTATGGTTACACAAGAGGGGAGAAATTGAGAAAATTAAGGGGGGAAATAGTTACAAATTACACAAGAGGGGGAAAATGGATAACAAGAAGGGGTGGGGGAGAAATGGTTTAAAAAATGAAGGTTGCGGAGGAAGTTAAAGAAAATGAAGAAAGAAATGGTTTGACAAGAAGGGGAAAAAATGAAGAACATGAAGGAACAAAAATAGCTACACATTAGAGAAAAAAGGATTCACGGCTAACTATCAAGGTAAAATTTGACGCAGCACGGAGATTTAACAGTTCGGTCCATTTCCCAGCAAGCTCTGACTTACAATCACAAATTGATCTATCAAACAAAAAAATTTCAATAATTTCTTTTAATACTTTTAAATCGGCGGATGCGATTCAAAGGTAAATTTTTTTAAAAACATCTCCTGTCTTCTTTAGCTTAAAGGCACCCTTAAATGAGTTGTCTGATCAAATAACCAGATATCAATGTTTATAGTTTGAAAGCTGATTGTTTTTGATTGTGGTTTCTCTACAAAAGTGACTTGCGCATTTCATTTTCGGGAAATATATAGAAATTATCGGAATTAACAATTTTTAAACATCGAAATACGACAACAATATCTTCCACATTATTGAGCAGATAAAGAATTCAAGGGTACCGGTCTGAATGAGGCATTGCATTTTGATTAAAATGCAAACCAACTTTAGATTTAAATAAAAGATCTGTCATTTTGAAATTCGAATACACAACACTTTTGTATTTGTAGAACTGACAATCTGAGACACTCGGACACTTCACGAATAAATAATGAATCTAAGATTAGAGAACAAAGTTTTAGATTTAGCTAAATTTTAGAAAAGTTAATATTTCGGGAACAGAATTTAATGAATTTGAGATAGGTCGCTGAGCTGTCGGATCAAATTTGAATTCCCCCGAGTCAAAGTTATAGATTTAGAAGGGATTCAAATTTGAACCGGTAGTAACAGTTCAGCGACCCCTAAAATTAATTAAATTCGGTCCCCGTCTTGTTCTTGTTTGTGTAAGGCATATCATAGCGAGCAGCAATTTTCACTTAGCTGTCAACATTCGAGGTTTGTATATATTATATTTATATATACATGTAAATATAATATTTACATATCACTGTGAGACTCGTGAGACATGCATTGAACGATAAAAGCCGTATAAAATTTGAGGCCAACCAGTAATTTTCATGTTTATTTGACTACTGAAAGAACTGAAGGGAAGAATGCATAATTTCTACGTAAATTCATGCAACGCAGCAGTACTCGCAGTACAATTTATATTACTCTGTATACAAAAGTGCATCATAAAGGAAAAATCATGCAGCCGCCAACAGCAGAATAAATGCCGTCTTCTAAATATATAATTTGCTTGTTTGTTTCACAGACTACTCAGACTGCTCATACACTCTACCTGGATAGGCTGAGCAGACCTATAGTGTCCCGGCACGCCATGCTACAGTTCCATGTAATGCTTTTTGACTGAAATCTTACGGCCACTTATTGCATTCAGGGATTAAGTTTTACAACTTTTAAAGAAATACTCCAATTTTAAACATAAAACATAACGTTTATGAATAATGTCTATTTTTAAAGATTTTGGATTTCCTATTCATAGGATCCTTGAATATCCCTGAATACCGACGCCTTCTGATTAGTCGTGTACAGTACGTCTTGTACAAAATAGAAAATGCTGTGGAAAATATCGCATATTATAGGTGTTAATTGATCTCTGTAACTCTCTTATCTCTGGTTTGTTTGTATCCAATAAACTTAAAATCGGCTTAACCGATCCGGTCCAATATTTTTTTGGGACCTCAAATGACCCCAGGGAAGAAATATGGACCATCAAAATTGGAAAAGAAGTACTGGAATTTGTTTTAAGAAATGTGCGATTATTTTGAATAGAAAATTCCGCTAAGATTTTAATGTTGTGAGTTCAAATAGATTATTATACAGAATATACAGTAAAACAGAGGGGTTTTAATGATTCCAAGATAGATACCATTCTTTCTGACATATAATATCATGTGAACAAAAAATTACAAATCTTCAAAAACAAAATAGCTTCATAAAATATTAAATAAGGAATAAAAATTATTATGTTTTTATGATAAGTTATCATAAGTTTCAGGAAAAGAAATTATATTGATTGCTATATACACATTACAATTTAAACGAATCCAGAGCCCGCGATAATAATTTAAAAAAAATAATTCTGATAACGTATCCACCCCCAAAGTAGGAGTTTTGAACGTCGAATTTGCGCTCAAACTCAGGATTTACAGATCTTTAAAAAGTTTAATATGTCTCAAATGAATCTGAAAGAAGTTTTCCACAACACTGCATACTCAGTTCAACTACCTTACATAGCCGGTCACTCCCTTTAATATAAATAGTACACATATCTTTGACAAATATTTCTTCTGGTTTACTCCTTCCTATGCTATTCCAGCCATTCTAATTAAATTTTTTATCTATGTATGTTAAAAAACTATTATCATAGAAGGATATAAGTATCTACAAGAACTTAACGGAAAATCGATTTCATAAGTATCAAAAATATTATTCTCTTATTTTAAACAGTACATTTTTGAGATGTCACTATTTCTCTATATATACTTTGCATGTATGGGTGTCTGTTTGTGTCCAATAAACGTAAAAACGGCTGATCCGATCTGGCTAAAATTTTGTGCGAGTCCTCACATGACCCCGAGGGTGGTTTATGGTACAGTAAAATTTGAAAAAAAATCTGGAAAATATAGAACCTTTTTATGTAAATCCGCAAAAATTTGAAAATGATTTAAAATGACCGACTTTTCAGTTTTCAGTGCAGCAGTTAAAACTATTTACAGGAAAGGAAAAGCCTAGTTGTTTGATATTTTGATTAGAAATAATACAGAGGCGTATTTAGGTGGGGGGGGGGGGGCTTATGGGGTCTCAGCCCCCTGGAACAGTGAAATCTATGGTTTCTAAGGGGTGCTAAGCCCTCCTATAGAAAGCAAACTATAATTTTAAACATTTTGTTATTTTGAAGAAAATAATCCCCCGTAAATTCAAACTATGAAAAGGTTCCAACAATGATTTGTGATTTTTTTTTTACAAATTCTTATCTAATTCAAAGTACTAGAAGCTTAATTCAAGTTTTCTGAAAAAGTTAGATTCCAGGATTAACCTGGAGTTCCTCAAGTCAAGTGTCAGTGACCCCCCCCCCCCCCCCCNTGGCATGTTTGGTTCACAACAGATTAAAACATCTTTGTATTTCTTTGAAGATTAACTATTTTCAATTGTATTTTCTTGACTGAGGTTCCTTGAAGATTTATGCACTAGAAACATTGCAGAAATTGTTAAACTTAATACTTTTCAAGATATAAAAATGACCATCAAGGTTCACAAGGCACCGCTGTGAATCGGATATGTCACTTATTTAAATGGTGCACTTGAATATCCGTCTACAGTCCCTTTGAACAATATAAAATATGTAAATATTACATATTACAAATTAAAATGAATAAAAATAAAATACAAATACAAAATAAAAAAAAAAACATTTCCAATGTTTATTTCAATATAAATAGTTTAATTTTATGATTTTAAACACAAGAGGGAAAACCTCATCTCCAAAGCTTATAAGGCCTAAATTTTAATTTTCTTTGAATGGAATAGGAGGAATAGAGGTTACATTGACTGAAGAATAGGAGGAATGGAGATTTCGTTAAATGGAACATAGCAGGAATGGTGGTTTTGTTGAATGGAGAATAGCAGGAATGGAGGTTTCTTTGAATAAAGAATAGCAGTTTTGGAGGTATCGTTAAATGGAGAACAGCAGGAATGGAGGTTTCGTTGAATGTAGAATAGCAGGAATAAAGGCGAGTGAAGATTAGGATGAGTGAAGGTTGGGAAGGATGGGATGAATGAAGGTTGAAGAATGGGATGAATGAAGGTAGGGAAGTATTGGATGAATGGAGGTCGGTAAGGCTAGGATAAATGGGGGTTGGTAGAGCTAGAATGTATGAAGGTTGGTAAGGCTGGATTGAATGAACGTAGGTAGGGCTGGAATAAAGGTTGGTAAAGGTAGAATGAATGAAGGTAGGTAGGGCTGGGATGAATGAAGGTAGGTAGGGCTGAGAGGGATGAATGAAGGTAGGTATGGCTGAGAGGAATGAATGAAGGTAGGTAGGGCGGGAATGATTGAATGTTAGTCGGGCTAGAATGAATGAATGTTGGTAGAGCTAGGATGAGTGAATGAAGGTAGGTTGGGCTGGGATGAATGATGGTAGGCAGAGCTAGAATGAATAAAGGAAGGTATAGCCAGAATGAATGAAGATAGGTAGAGCTAGAATAAATGAATGAAGGTAGGTAGAGCTAGAATGAATGAAGATAGGTAAAGCTAGAATGAACGAAGGTAGGTAGGTCTAGAATGAATGAAGGAAGGTAGGGCTGGGATGAATGAAGGTAGGTAGGGCTGGAATGAATGAGAGTAGGTAGGGCTGGGATGAATGAGAGTAGGTAGAGCTAGAATGAATGAAGGTAGGTAGAGCTAGAATGAATGAAGGTAGGTAAATCTAGAATGAATGAAGGTAGGTAGGGCTGGAATGAATGAAGATAGGTAGAGCTAGAATGAATGAAGGTAGGTAGAGCTAGAATGAATGAAGGTAGGTAGAGCTAGAATGGATGAAGATAGGTAGAGCTAGAATGAATGAAGGCAGGTAGGGCTAGAATCAATGAAGATAGGTAGGGCATGGAATGAATGAAGATAGGTAGAGCTAGAATGAACGAAGGTAGGTAGGGCTAGAATGAATGAAGGAAGGTAGGGCTGGGATGAATGAAGGTAGGTAGGGCTGGAATGAATGAGAGTAGGTAGAGCTGGGATGAATGAGAGTAGGTAGAGCTAGAATGAATGAAGGTATGTAGAGCTAGAATGAATGAAGGTAGGTAAATCTAGAATGAATGAAGGTAGGTAGGGCTGGAATGAATGAAGATAGGTAGAGCTAGAATGGATGAAGATAGGTAGGGCTAGAATGAATGAAGGTAGGTAGAGCTAGAATGAATGAAAATAGGTAGAGCTTGAATGAATGAATGTAGGTAGGGCTAGAATGAATGAATAAAGGAAGGTAGGGCCGGGATGAATGTACAATTGAATTGGTCCTATAAGCTTTGTAGATCGGGACAAAAACCTCTGCGTTTACTTATTTATAAAAATGGCGATAACAAATTTTACAAAATTTTTACAAGTTTTTACTTTGTCAAATAAATATATCTATGTATAACACTAAAACATTAATCAAGATGGAAATATAAAATTAAATTTAATACTTTGGTATTATTATAAAATCTTAGGGTAACTTAAGCATGGTAATACAATTCTTTATTCAACTTTGTTTCAAATTTAAATAAAATTCAGGATTTTCTCTGACATTCGTCTGGTCTAGCTGCCTAAGTTACTCATACGCTGTCCGATTCTTTCATTTGAATTGTTTATATTAAACCTTAATCAGTGTTTAGGATCCGGATCCCAGGGCAAAATATCAAACAAAAACTGCAAAAGAAAATCTGTTTCTCTCAAAACTCAAATCTGAACTGTTACAAAAAAGAGAGAGATTATCAAAAATGTCCTTGTAGCAAGTTGTTGCATAAAAATAACTGAAAAGAAAGAAGAAAATAATTCGAAAAAGGGCTAAACCGATCGGGCCTAAAACTTTAAGGTAACTCGGGTTTACAAAATGGAATTCTTGATAAAATCTAGACTCCCCCCTCCTCCTCATTTTTAAAAAGCTTTGTTAAAACCCCATTAAAGATATTTCTTAAACTAGAAAATCATTTCTAGAGAAAAACGTGGTAAAAATTGTATATCTAATCAGAATGACTGTTAAGACTGGAAATGAAAGAATCGGGCAAAATAAACGTTGAGAAATTAAGTTTAGCAAATGTAGTTCTCATTATATTACTTAACTTTACTTTTCAAAGGTTAATAATTTCATTAATTGAGTCAAAAGTTAGTATAACAGTTACAATTAATAAGTTGTAAGCATTCATCAAAATGATAATTTTACAAATTCCAATTACTTCTATTCTAGGGGGTTAGATTTTTTTTTGTACGTTTTTTTTGTGTGCATTTACAAGCAATAATAATAGGCTTAATATTAAAACTTACATATATAAAAAAAATCTTTTTTGTCACTTGAGTATTTTTAGGTATATTTTTTTTGTTTACTTAAAAAAACGTATATCTTTGTGTTTGTAAAAAAACACGTGTTTAACTTGTCGTTGTTCCATGCTTAACCAAGGTTCTGGAATCCAAAGGTTCCAAGATTCCTGATTTTAGTAAGTGTATCCTCCTCAGGCTGACGTGGCGAAGTTCTCACTACCCTGGCGTAGGTTGGCAGTGGCGAAGGCGAATCTGATGTTACTCGCCGCTCCGGATCCGGGAAGGAAGGATATGTCTCAAGATCTACCGGATCCGGATTGAACCGGTTCCAGGAATCCGTACCGGATGTTCGCCCTTTAAAAGAATGCGTAGAAAAATGTCAAAGTAAGTTGATAAGACTTTAGAATGGCATCAAAGATTAAAAGGTACCCTATGATTTAAACATTGACATCTTGGGTTGCCTAAAAAAGATTAGCGGATTTCCAAACACCAGATTTTCGCGATATACGGCGAGTATTTTACCATCCTTACCCAACTGAAAGTGTCGATGTAAAGGTTCAATTAAATTTACGTAAATTATCCCCTTTAAACCAATATTTCTTGACAAAGAAAATAGATGAAGAAAGTAAAACTTACCGTTTTGGTTTTTAAAATGGTTTTCTTGAGAACTTGATTGATCCACAAACCTCTGGTTCTCAGGGTGACAATGGTTCTCGGAAAGAGTTTGGTTCTCGAAGATTAAAGAATTCTCAAGGATGTGGTTCACATGATTCCCCTGCATTAGGTTGGAGTTAACTCTCTCATTTTCGAGGCCAAGAAGCTCCTCAAACGAGATCTTCCGTCTCAGAAGTTCCATTTGCAGGTGCCAATTCTGACTTGAGGAATCCATTTCATTCATCCCGGAGATTTGAATACTTTGTTCCGAGCTAGCATGTTGAGGATGATAATTGAATCCGTTCCCATGATGGATGGGTTGCTCCGGGTTGGGATGTGTACTCGGATGGTTTGAATCTGAGGATCTAGGTGAGGAAATATCACACGAATCCTCCAAGGGTTGAGCACGCCTACAATAGAAAATTAATCGTCGGTGTTACTGTTATCATCTTTTTAAAGAGAAATAGGAAAGGACAAATAAAAAGTAAAAATTTTCTTCATTGAGTTTTTCTAAAATCAACAAAGATATTTCGAAAAAAAAATTGCTTTTTCTTTTGAAGAATAACCATCTCATGCATTAATAATGGTTTGATTTCCTGTAAATCTCTTTAACAGTGAACATTTTTTTTAAAGCTTTAATAATGACTAGACAAGAAGCATTGAAGACCTAATAAGAGAGAAGAGGAATAAACTATGCAGAATAAAGCGCTCCAAACGGTGTAAATGCCGCAACCATTTCTCACCTTAAATAAAGCGGTTTATACTCAAACTTCTCATTCTCGTGTTTATCAAAGTCCGCCATTAAAGACTCGAACATCGAGTTCATCCCGTCCTTCTCTTCATCCTCCGGACTCTCCCGTCCTAGGGACAAGGTTTCCATCTGCCCCACTTCGTCCTTCACCTCAACCGCGGCGGAGTGTTCTCCGTCTTCCGTTAACAACTCTCCGCCTAATGCGTTTACATTTCATCAAGATTCTCATAAAATGACATAATTAGGAAAACAAACACATATTATCATTTTCTTGTTGTCTTTATGATGCCTCTTACCTCCTCCTAAAACTAGAAAAATCCCCCCCCCCCCTTTCTAAAAGCGTATTTGAGTGGACAATCTCCATTTGGTACATTTAAATATAGCCGATATTTAAATTGAATATTTACTAACCAGTGAACACATATATGGAGATGTATGACAAAACTATGAACTAGAAGAAAACTGTTTGATGAAATATAATTCATTCCTTCAGAAATAATCAACTCTTGGAAGGCTGCAGCTTCGATATCTTTCCCGACTGATTTCAAGGCGTTGAACCAGGCAATCTGGGCTTCCCTGAAAAACAAATATATTTTTTTTTAATTCCACAAACATTGGTAACAAATATTATTTTCATTCTAAGAAAAGTGAAACCCGATTTAAAAAAAACATTACCTCATAAATTCTTCATATTGAAAATCATCAAATCAGCCAAGATTAAACAATTTGTCGAAATAAATTTGTCATTCTGTATTTCTGTGCGCATCCAAAATAAAATGGCAAACGTAAATTCGTCAAATTTAAACACGATAAAGTAAAATAATATTATCAACCAAAGAAGAGTACTTGTTTAAATCATATTGTTTAAATATTGATAATAGAAAAGACCAAAGAATAATGAGAAAAAAGATGTAAAGATCTCTCATTTTTTTAAATACCTGGATAAAAGAATGGTTTTTAAATCTGTTCTTGGCGGCAGAATACGATCCTTAGCAGATGTAACAACTCCTCCAGCTTTACTTGTGCCTCCTACAGCTTGTGGTTTGTACACCGCAGTTGCCTCCGATTGCACCTGTACCGGAGTAGAAACAGGAGAAAACCTTGCTCTGACCGTAGGAGTGGACACTGCCATAGTTGGAGGACGGTAGGATTGGAGGACAGGGTTAAGAGGATAGGACGCAGAGGACAGAGGAGCAGAGATAGGTAAGCTAAAGGACGGAGGTAGGATGCCAGGGTAGAAGGGATGGTTGAGCAGAGGGAACCCGGGAGTTCCAGGGCCCAGTAAACTTAGTGGACTTAACCCGTGGTAGGGCCCCAGAGTAGGTATACCTGGTACCCTAGGTAGGGTCCCTAAACCTGTCATGCTGAACCAGGGTGGTATACAGGAGACAGGGGGAGGATGGGTAGCAGGGAAGGCGGGTATAGTCTCGTGGCTCACAGATAAAACTAAAATTATCAACTTTATTAATTATTAAATTAATTATTAACCTATGCAAAAACTTAACAAGAAGGTATTTAGATATTCCTTATAAGCATTATTTCCTTTCGTCAAAAACACGCCGTATCTGAATAAAAATTAAACGTTGGAGAAAAGATTGAAATAAAAATGTCATGTCAATGAACTCAAAGCATCTATATCAAGAACACATTTTTTTCTTTAACATGTCTACATTTATTTTTTAGTTTTAACAACAAAGCAAGGACAAATATATTTTCTAAATTTACCTCTTGGAATAAACTCCTTAGCCATAGGGTTGAGCCCGTAAATATTCTTCAGCTCGATAGCTTCGAGGTTGAGCCTTAACTCCTTCCAGGTGTACCCAACCAGGCTCTTGTTTTTAGAACATATCTCCAAAAAGTTCTCCCATAACTTCCTAAAATCAATGACTTTGCCAATTTGGTCTTTACAAAAAGAATTTATCCAAAGAAAAATTCTTTTATAACGAAACTCCCCTTCTGTATGTATGAAATTCTTTTTTTTTTAAATTCTTCATTTGAAAAATTTTATTCTTTCATTTTTTCTTTTTCTATGGTCCTTATTTCTATTTATTTCTTTTGTTTTCCTACGTCAAATTAAATTCTTTTTATTTTTCTTTAACTTATTCTATACTGAACATTTTTGTAAATTTTGTTTGTTTCGATAGTCAAATTCCTGCATCTATCCAAAGCGCAGTTTATAACCTGCTTCTAAGAAATTGCAATTAACTAAAATGCTTCTAACTGAATTGGTACTGTTATGTACTAACATCTCCTATAACTTCTACTGTATCTCCTACATCTGCTAATGTAACTGCTACTGTATCTCTCCTACAACTGCTAATGTAACTTCTACTGTATCTCCTACATCTGCTAATGTAACTGCTACTGTATCTCTCCTACAACTGCTAATGTAACTGCTACTGTATCTCCAACAACTGCTAATGAAACTGCTACTGTATCTCCTAAAAGTGCTAATGTAACTGCTACTGAATCCCCTAAAACTGCTAGTGTAACTGCTTCTGTATCCCATACAATTGCTATGGTATCTCCTAAAATTGCTATTGCGACTCTTATTTACCTGCATCTTCCCACTGAGCAAAGGGCTACAGGATCTCCTACAACTGCTACTAAGCTCTGAGCCCGAGTAACTGCTGTATTCAACAGTTTAGCGCTAGACAAGAACCTAGAAAAAGCTAAACTTTATGTCTGGGTAACTGCAGTATTCGACTGTGTGCCCAGGTAACCACAGTATTCAACAAAACTCTGTGCCCGGTATCCAGAGTATTTAACAAAACTCTGTGCCCGGTATCCACGGTATTTAACAAAACTCTGTGCCCGGTATCCACGATATTTAACAAAACTCTGTGCCCGGTATCCACGATATTTAACAAAACTATGTGCCCTTGCAACAGCAGTATTCAACAAAACTCTGTGCCCAGGTAACCCCTGTATTCAATAGACCTCTGTGCCCAGGTAACCGCAGTTTTCAACTAACCTCTGTGCCCAGGTAACCCCAGCATTCAACTAACCTCTGTACCCAGGTAACCACAGTATTCAACTAACCTCTGTGCCCAGGTAACCACAGTATTCAACTAACCTCTGTACCCAGGTAACCACAGTATTCAACTAACCTCTGTACCCAGGTAACCGCAGTATTCAACTAACCTTTGTGCCCAGGTAACCCCAGCATTCAACTAACCTCTGTGCCCAGGTAACCCCAGCATTCAACTAACCTCTGTGCCCAGGTAACCCCTGTATTCAACTAACCTCTGTGCCTAGATAACCACAGTATTCAACTAACCTCTGTGCCCAGGTAACCCCAGTATTCAACTAACCCCTGTGCCCAGGTAACCCTAGTATTCAACTAACCCCTGTGCCCAGGTAACCCCAGTATTCAACTAACCCCCGTGCCCAGGTAACCCCAGTATTCAACTAACCCCTGTGCCCAGGTAACCCCAGTATTCAACTAACCCCTGTGCCCGGATATCCACGGTTTTCAACTAATCTGTACCTGTGTAACCGCAGTATTCAACTAATCTGTACCTGTGTAACACTATAGGGTGGGGGAAATGTGATGGGGGAATGAAATACGTGGGGGGGGGATGAGAATGAGGAAGTCGGATGATAAAATGGATAAAGGCTGTAATGTACTTTACTACAACATTAACCCCGGAAAATGAGTAAAAGGAGAATCTGAACTTGCAAATTTTTACTCCGCTTCTACCCAAAAGTATATTTGCAAGATTGTAAAATCTAGAAAACTTATTTTAAAATTTTTAGGATTTAAATTTACATATTTTCAAATGATAACGAAGATTCAAAATGTTTGTTCAAGATTTGACACAAAACTTCTTTACAGCTTAGATAAAGAATGCTTTAAGGGTTTTTATTGTCAAATAATACCGGATGCAATATTCATTCATATCTTCTATCTCTGAGTGGGCCAGATGCCGGATAATATTGGAATTTTGATTTCACGAGGGTTTAAACAAAGATGAAGGAATATACAGGGTGGCCAAAACTTTTTTGAACCCATCCGTACAAAAATCCGTACATTTTCAGAAGAAATCCGTACAATCCGTACAATTTTCGAAAAACAATCCGTACAATCCGTACAATTTTTTTAAAAAAATCCGTACAATCCGTACATTTTTTTAAACCAATCCGTACATTTTTTTAAAGATCCGTACATTTTTTTAAAAAATCTGTACAATCAGCATAATTTCGAAAAAAATCCCATTTTTGAAAAAAAAACATTAAAATTCAATTTTTCATTCATTGTCTTTTGTGTTCAGTTCATGTAAGAGGGTTTAAACTTCTTCAGCAAGAATCAATCTGTAAAAAATTGGCTTCATACATATATACAAACTAAATACTGGGTACATGATACTAGGTGCATGATACTGGATACTGGATACATGATACAGGGTACATGATACAGGNGACGAGAATTTTTTTTATTTTCATGAAAAATTTTCTGAAATGAGTGAAAATTTAAAAAAACGGTGTATTTTCCAGGATAAAATCCGTACAATCCGTACAATTTGAAAACAAATCCGTACAATCCGTACAATCCGTACAATCCGTACAATTTTAGGTTAAAAAAAAATCAATCCGTACAATCCGTACAATCCGTACATTTTGGCCACCCTGAATATAATTCTTTATTAGACTTCTTAACATCCGGTAGAATATTATTACAGCATTTTGGGACATCAGAGAAAAATGTTTTTTTTTCAGTGGAAGGGAAGCCTCCCTGGTCCCCCTGTAAACGCCAAAACCGAAAATATAAGTATCAACGTCAAAAATATTTAAAATCCTACAAACAAACAAACTAACTAACTAACACACACCCACACATGCGATAAACCATCTTTCCGCAGTAGTCATGGCTGAGCCAAAAATAGCCATAACAGCTATTAACCAAGGTTATGCCTTTTCTTTGATGTGCTCAATTTCATTCATAGATAGATGGAGAATGTTTTAGTATAAAATTACTCGGATCCTTATATACAGGGTTACCCACAAAGAATGAGACTTCAGATACGACTGTACGGAATTCATACTGTCATGTAAATCATGATTTCCTGCAATTGTAAATTTTATTTCTATGCACAATCATTGAATAAGTCATTGAAAGATTGTGTTCAAGGGAAAAGACTCAATTTAATCTTGGAATCGTCAAATTTAAAGAGTTTCAGGTCGTCTTTACAGTCGCATACTTTGTGGGTAACCATGTATTGAATAAAAATTTTTAGATTATCTCTTCATTCAAAAATAACATTGACAAATTGAAAATTTGTGTGGTTGAAATAAATTAAAATAACAAAAATGGCGACAGAATAATTAAAACAAAAACTCTTCTCATCTCTGTGATAAATGTTGATTGCTCTTTTTAAGTCTGCTCTTAAATTAAACACTGACACCCAACAACAAAAGAGAATCAAGAAATTGTTTCGATTTGTCTGGACTAGAGGATCCAGATACGGGATTAGTCTGGAGTGGAGGGACCAGATAGAGGATTAGTCTGGAGTGGAGGGACCTGATACAGGATTAGTCTGGAGTGGAGTACACCAGATACAGGATTTGTCTGAAGTGGAGGAAACCAAATGCATGGGTTGGCTAGAGTGGAGCAGCAGATACAGGATTTGTCTGGACTGGAGGAGATCAGACAGGATTTGTCTGAACTGAAAGAGACCAGATACAGGATTAGTCTGGAGTGGAGTAGACCAGATACAGAATTAGTCTGAGCTCGTTCTCTCCATAGAAAGTGGTCGTGTAGTTCACGTACTTTGGGGGACGATATGTTGCCCGCTAAATTCTTATCTGATAGATAGATATTTCTCCGTACATTTGACGAATAATATAGGAGACGTCAAGTTGTCGACCAATATAGTTTATGGAAGGAACGGCCTCTGGAGTGAAGGAGACCAGATACAGGGTTAGTCTGGAGTGAAGAAGACCAGATAAAGGATTAGTCTGGAGCGGAGGAGACAAGATACAGGATTAGTCTGGAGTGGAGGAAACAAGATACAGGATTAGTCTGTAGTGGAGGAGACAAGATACAGGATTTGTCTGGAGTGGAGAAGACCAGATACAGGATTAGTCTGGAGCGGAGGAGACCAGATACAGGATTAGTCTGGAGTGGAGGGACCAGATACAGGATTAGTCTGGAGTGGAGTAGACCAGATACAGAATTAGTCTGAGCTCGTTCTCTCCATAGAAAGTGGTCGTGTAGTTCACGTACTTTGGGGGACGATATGTTGCCCGCTAAATTCTTATCTGATAGATAGATATTTCTCCGTACATTTGACGAATAATATAGGAGACGTCAAGTTGTCGACCAATATAGTTTATGGAAGGAACGGCCTCTGGAGTGAAGGAGACCAGATACAGGATTAGTCTGGAGCGGAGGAGACCAGATACAGGATTAGTCTGGAGTGGAGGGACCAGATACAGGATTAGTTTGGAGTGGAGGGACCATATACAGGATTAGTCTGGAGTGGAGGAGACCAGATACAGGATTAGTCTGGAGTGGAGGAGACCAGATACAGGATTAGTCTGGAGGGGAGGGACCATATACAGAATTTTGAATGAAATAAACTGAATCAAAGCTGGCCAATTCCCTCTTAGGGTTGACAAAGCAATAGGAATATTTAGGTAACGAAATGGAAAAATGTTTATTAAAATCTGGATAAAAATAAGAGAAGTGTGGATAAGGGGTTCTTACCCGAAATCTGTTCTTTCAGGCGGTTGTGAGGTGCAGGATTCTCTAGTGCGCACCGTGGAGATAAATATTGCGCGGTATTGCTTCCCTTGCACGTTTTGAACGCGCTCAACAGAGATGTTGTGCATCCGTTTCTTCCGTAGCTCGGCTCGGATCCGCATAACCTGTAATGAAAATTTAACCTCTCTCTTCGTATACTCTCAAATCTCATTTCTCCAGGAATCTTTTAGGCCAGAACATTTCAAGGTATAATTTGATTTTAAAATGAAAAACTTTATGTCGAGATCTTGAGGGGAAATTTCATTCTCTTCACAAAAGAGATATCTCAATAATTTCACAAGTTTTAGTTGAATATTTTGTCTTCTGTGTACACAAAGCATACTCTGAAATCCGAACTTAACAACCTCAACCCGGCAGAGCTTTAGGGCAAATTACAAATTAAAATCATTCATTGAACAAGATTTACGAAAAAGCAGGAAATAAAAAAACTTTCATTTATAATATCAGTAAAACAACCAGTACACAAGGTATCTTTTAAATAAGTGCTTAAGATTCAAATCAGGACTCTAACGTTTTATGCATCTGAATTTGGATCCAGCTATTCATAAAATTACTGCATTTTGAGGCTGAGGCTGAGTGAACATAACATAAGCTACAAACCCACAAGGTTTGCGCATAATTATTAAATGACACAAACTATTAAAGTTTTAAGAGAAAAAAGAAAATAGAGAAAAACTATATAAATGAAGTTTTTTGTAGCAAGATCCGGTTCGAGAAGTTTTTTTTGTAGGAATCCAGATTCGAATTCTCTTCATATGAAAATGATCTAGACTGACAATAAAATCTTCTAACTGATGATGATTCTAACCTGATCATGGTACGGGGTGACAACCCCTATCTCAACCTCCTCCTTCCTACCCCAGACCTTTGGCCAGTTCTTCTTCAGTTCGATCAGACGATCCACGATCTCCCCGACCTCGTAGTTGTTGTAGTAGGAGGTGGAGTTCACGTCCTAGAATACAAGAACATAAATAGAATATTCGGGATATTTAAATAATATGTGTAACGTCAGCTGTGTTGAGTTCACACTGTGCTCTTGCGTACACTCCAATTTTCCGGCAATTCAAACACCTTCTTAGAGATAATCACACGGTAGTCCTCTGACCTCAATAATCAGTCAAAGGTTTAAAGGGTATCGTTGTAAATCGGGAATTGCATGGAGGATCACTTGAATTTGCGCTTAAAGTCCCTTTTAATAAGAATTTAAACAACTATACCTGAACATCCTCTCCTCTAGCAGTAAAGAAGGTTAAGGGAAACCATTTAGGATGCAGCGGTTGCTTTCCACTCGCCACAAGTTTCTTTAAAATAATCTTTCTTAAAAAACGAATATTTCAAGTAATATTTCATGATAAAAAATTACGAAACTAACAAAAGTTTATATTTTATTAATTCCTAATCTTCAAAGCTTTGTATCTCCCCCACACACCCCCAATAGAAATAAGAACTCTTTAAAGATCTTCCGTCTGTTCACGTATATATTTTTCCACTTGTAGTGCTGGCGGAATACAAATACAAAATCTAAATTCAGGGGAATTTAATAAAAATTATTTCTTTTAACCGGTATGTTTATTTTGATAAAAAATTGTTCCCGAGGAGTTGGATCGGGGAGTAATTAATTCTGATAGAATATATATAAACACCCCTGCAATGCCTAGTGTCTAAGTAGCAAAGTTAAAGGATTAAGGGATGGAGGAGAGGGAAATCATCTACTAAGCTCTTTAAGCTGGTTCATGCTAGAACTAAAACTTGAATCAAAGAATCTAACCGGAGTCGGGAAATTTTGAATAAGATGAATTTAAGAACTATGAAACTTAGACTAAAACTTTTAAATTAAGATTCGCCAATATTCAATGGTTTCAACGAATACCTTTGCTGATGATCTCGTATTGGCAGAATTTTTATTCCTGATTCTTATCAATAATATCTTAAAACTTATTCCAAAAATCAGTGTTTCGGATCCGGATCCGTATCATTTGGTCGGATCCGGGATCCGAATCCGTATCAGGAAACGTTGATATGGATCCGGGTAGCGCCAAAAATTAACCAAAACCATGGAATAAATAAATCAAAATGGTTCGTAAATGTATTATTTACATGACGAAAATTTGGACGCCCTTCTCCTGCTCAAGGCTAACAGTGACTATCTCTTCAAGAAGTGATTGATCGGCCTGTCCAAAGGATTACTCCAAAAAGTCTATATTTTTTTTGTTACATTTCGGAATATATAATAAATATAGTTTATAAATTATAACCTTGCATAACATTTAATAGGGAAAATCCGATTCACAGAATCAAAAGTTACCTCGGATCCGGATCCGGATCCGTATCAGAGTCAGGATCCGGATCCATCATCACGGATGCGGATCCGCGGATCCGGATCCGCATCAAAATGATACGGATCCGAAACACTGCCAAAAATAATATAAATAATTATAGAGGATGGATAAAGAAAGATTTCAATGGTTATTATGAGAAAGTACTATAATTCAGTAAGAAAATGTTTAATCTATTTTTTGAAGCTCAGGATTCTTTACACGGAAGGGAGGGAGGGAATGGGGTGATGTACAAACTATTTAAAATCTAATCCTACCTGATCATAGAAAAGATTGCTAGTGAATGAAACAATCTCTTGATGGCTCCTAAAAAGAAAAAAATTGGTTTAAACATTTTATTTTTTTATCATAAGTAATTTTAAAGGTTATCATCACTTTTTTCTTTTTTAACAAAAGTTAAAGAATAAGAGATAAGATGTCCGCTACACTTTCAACTCAATAATAAGAATTTAACCATTGCACTAATTGTTTTCTCAATAACAGTTCCAGGATGGAATTTCGACCTTGGATAAAATGGAAACGAACCGTCTGATTGGTATTTATTAGGTCGTAAGTTTCGAGATAGTTTCTGTATAATTGATGATAATCAAGGAGGAAAGATAAAAGGAGAGGATATGGGGTAAGTCTCCACAAAAATGTTTACAATAATTCACTTAATGGTTTTTACCAACTCCATGATTGAAGATGTTTTTACAAATCCACTCCCAGATTTTACCAACTCCATAAAGATGGTTTACCGATACACTCCGTTGTTTTATTAACTCCCTGACAACGTTTTAACCAATCTACTCCGTTGTTTTATTAACTCCATGACAACGTTTTAACCAATCTAATCCGTTGTTTTATTAACTCCATGGCAACGTTTTAACAAATCTACTCCGTTGTTTTATTACTCCATGACAACGTTTTAACCAATCTAATCCGTTGTTTTATTAACTCCATAACAACGTTTTAACAAATCTACTCCGTTGTTTTATTAACTCCATGACAACGTTTCAACCAATCTACTCCGTTGTTTTATTACTCCATGACAACGTTTTAACCAATCTAATCCGTTGTTTTATTAACTCCATAACAACGTTTTAACAAATCTACTCCGTTGTTTTATTAACTCCATGACAACGTTTTAACAAATCTACTCCGTTGTTTTATTAACTCCATGGCAACGTTTTAACCAATCTACTCCGTTGTTTTATTAACTCCATAAAGAGCAAAACTATTGATTATATTGAAAGTATGAGAATAAAGGGAACAAAGGAATCTTGAAAACAAACTGAACATAAATCTTACAACTTTCAACACAAGATTTCTTGGTCATTATATTCTTGGTCTAGTATCTTCGTGTTAATATTCGTCAACATCTGTTCTTGGCCCATCCCTTGTACCCATATCCTTATATCCATATCCAAATGTTTATTATCCGTGTTCTTAATATCCTTAGTCTTTAAATTATTTGATCTTATGTACCAGGTCTTAACACTAAAAACTTGGGGAGAGGGGGCCGGTTACCCCCCCCCCTTGTTTATTGACCCTGTACTCATATTTTTTTTAATATCCATTAACTTTTCTGTTATTAAAGCTACAGATATAAAGTTAACATATAAAATAAAAATATAAACATATGTTAATTTGTCAATAACTAAATTTTTAATTTTATACATTTTCCGACCTTTTTTTAGTAATTTTTTAGCAACCTCTATATCACCTGAACCTTTGAAGTTAGGCCCCTAATATTTTTTTGAGCTGTCCTTGAATAATTGGGCTACGAACAAGTATTGCAACTCTATACATATTCTCTAAAGCCCTTTCCTAGGAGGAAAGGGGGGGGGGTAGGACGCCCCCGTTAACTAAAATGATTCAGATCCCAGCCTTTGAAGGGTTAATAACCTTTTATTCCTAATATCTTTGATCGTATATTTTGCTTGATGTGGCTCTATTTTAATCTCTATTTATCCTCAAAACGGGGTTCGTTGTAAACAACCAGTTCTCCACAGTATATACCACCGGGGAGAGCTAGTACGGTTTATGCTATATACAGTTCGTTGTAAACAACCAGTTCTCCACAGTATATACCACCGGGGGAGCTAGTACGGTTTATGCTATATACAGTTCGTTGTAAACAACCAGTTCTCCACAGTATATACCACCGGGGGAGCTAGTACGGTTTATGCTATATACAGTTCGTTGTAAACAACCAGTTCTCCACAGTATATACCACCGGGGGGAGCTAGTACGGTTTATGCTATATACAGTTCGTTGTAAACAACCAGTTCTCCACAGTATATACCACCGGGGAGAGCTAGTACGGTTTATGCTATATAAAATAAAAAGTATGATATTCATCAAAGTCCGATTTTTAGTAATTTTCCAACTGATAGGTTTTGTCTGTAATAAAACCTTTCACTTTGCTTATTTTTTCTTTTCTTATATACTTTAAATCTTTTACTCTTTTACTCCTTTATAACTTTTTCATCATATTTTCTTTATTTTTTATCAGACTACTTTTTTATCAATCTTCGCCCTCCCTCCCTCTCAGCCAACTAAACACACAGTTTTTAGTTTTTAGTTTTCAGTCCCCTTTTTTTACCTTTGCTAAAATATTTTTTTGCTTTCCTTTGTCTTTCTTATGACTATTATAATCCCATTCAAAAAATAAAGTGTATCATAATTATGTTTTAATCCTCTAAAGACCATATTTCTTTCCCCCCTTTTCCCCAGAAACTTCGGAGTGAAGTGAAAGGGGGATAAATTAAGTGACAAAAAAATCACACAAGATTTTTTATACCTGTAATTTTCGCAGAGGAGAATTTTACACGGATAGTTTCTTGGATATAGATCATACAAACGCTCTGCACACACCATCAATATCAGGTTTCAGTAAATGGGAATCTACGCTTCAGTTCTTTTAGACGGTCTGCAGAAATAATTTAAAGTGGCTCTCCATTCATGTCCAATTTACAATGGTACCATTAAAAGCTTTATCTGATCAAAAATGCATAAGATATCAATCATCTTCTCTTTGAAAGTTATTTATTTTACACTATGGTTTCTCAAAAAAGTGACTTGCGCATTCTGCTTCAGAAACAATAAGGATAAAGTTCTCATCGTTAAACACCTAACTAGAAAAATAACTATATTTTCCACATAATACATCAGAAAAATGATACCATTGTGAATCTGACATGCCCTTCCTAAATTTGAAGTTTACTGAAAATCAAATTAAGTCCAGATATTGTAGTCCTGGGTAGGGGTTTCATCAATACTTAAGGAAACGTACAAAGGAGTTTATAATTTCTAAAAACCGTACTTTATTTGCAACAGTTGAAAATTACAAAAACAAAATTAAAGACAATTAAAATTATAAAGCACAGCTATTGCAATCATTGATTTGAAATATAAATTTTTTGCTTCCAAGAAAAATTAAATTAATTATTACGTAAAAAAATAAAAGAATATTGAGTTAGGTATAGTCTTCTCCGTGTATATTTGAATACAGGGTATATATACTCCCTATATACAAGAGTACTTGGATCTGAATAGGAAACTTCAGAGAGTTTCGTTCAAGTGGGTAAACAGCAGTGCGAGTATAATTTTAATTGACCCTTTCCCCCTTTCCGAACACTTCTTTTTCTCCCAAAATATGTAAACAAATTATGCATAAAACTTAAAGGAAAAAGTATCAAATAGATGTAAAAAAAGTCTGTAATTTGTCATCACATTTTACATGTTTTCCGCTTTCTCTCAGAAGGCAATATACTCAAACGTTGAAATTTTAAACCAAGCTAAGAACATTCCTATGGTTCTACCGAGTTCCCCGATCAAAATCAGAGGTAAATCGGTAAAGGGGTTCATGACTTATGATCGGACATACGAAAAGACAGACAAACAGAGATAACTGGTTTATATGTTTAGATTTATACTATTTGTGTAGATAGATATTTATGTTTCTAAAAGCAATAAGGAATATTCATAAAATACCTTAGAGATTAATATAATTAGTCGATATTATTTCTTCTTATTATTAAAGCCAGGTTTCTCTAAATCCCGGTTTCAATTAAGTTTTTAGTTTCCGACTCCGAGTATAGAGAGGTATATCCTACGATATAAAGTTTAAGGATCAGAGTAGTTGAGTTAAATGAGACGTTTTATACAAGAGGGATATATGTGTGTATAGATGGAGAATAAGATAAAAAGATAGATACTCGGTAGCTTCGGTCTTACAAAATTTTCAGGTTGTGGGAGCATTGAGCTTGTTTCCACTACTCCCATAGAGTACTGTACACATCTGCGTACATTGAGTTGGGAGATTTAGTATGTTAAAGCAAAAAGATTTATAATCGTTTTGGTTTATATTTTAGATCCAGATCCTAAGATTTGACTAGGGATGAGAATTTGAATGAATGATATGATTTCCTAGAAGAGATAGATTAAATTGCTTCTCCAGAGCGAACGGAGAAACCACCTCCGGTTCAAGCTGCATATGATCTCCGGCCAGCACAACTCTATCAAAATCTTATTTATCATAAGAAAAAAAAGAAAAACTAAGATGGAAACAGATATAATCAAAATTAAAATGTCCTGTATTTTTTAAATAAAGGCAAAACAAATGTCCAATTTATTTTTTACCATAACGTAAAATCCAAAGACGGAAAAAAATGCAATCCATCAAGTTATCAAAACAAACAACAATCCACAGGGTTACACACGATAGATGATACTTCAGAGACGACAGTACGGAATCTATATTCTGTTTCCATAAATTTATAATTACTTACGGTAAACTTTTTTTGTGCAATTATTAGATAAGCCATTCATTAAAAGACTATATTCAAGTAAAATTTGTTATTTAACCTTGAGTTCTTCATATTTTTCAAATTTCTTATTCTGTGTGGGTAGCCCTGTGTTTTATGTCAATCTATTATGCATCAATTTTGTTTCAAGCTTAAATTCCAGGCAAAGTTTTATTTCCCGGTCTTTTCCATTCCAAGAACAGATTTAAATTTATCCAATCCCAAGATCAAATTCGGATACTAAATACATTCTACAAAGTCATTTTTTACAATGAGTTATTGAAACATTTTATAACAATATTAGGTTTTTTTTTTAGAGGAACAGGGGGAGGGGGGGGGGGGGGGGGGGTGACAACTCTTGTGTTAAGATTAATTTCCTGGTCGTAGAATTAGCAAGGATCAAGGGTAGAATTGCCTCAGTTTCTAAAGCCTGAAATAAGAATGGATCATTAATTCAAGTTAATGATTTATTGCATTTGACATTCTTGACATTCTTTTTTGTTCTAAATACAAAACTAATTTTAATTCATATTTTTTATTTATCTTATTTTCTCCTTCACAAACTATTCATATTCCCCTTTTCAAGTTTATTTTTTTTGTTAATGTAGAGTAGACATTAAAGATAAGATAAGATTAGATAATGTTTATAGCTAAAATACATGTATCTGTGTACAGAACGAGTTTACAATTTCAAATTGATAATTATTTAACATCATAAAACAACATAAACATAGACATTAGCATAGATTAGGGGTGTATATTTTCTCAACAAATTATTTCCCCCGTTGAAAATATTTTTCCCCCCCATAAGTTAAATATGCTTACACGGAGCGAACGTTTGTTTAGGGTTTTATTTGTGCTGCTTCATCCAAAAGAATATGTGTGAAATGACCGGGTTTCAGTAGCTGGGTCAAACATCTGCTAGTCGATAATGTCGCAACTACTAGATCACAGTCTACCAAATCCTAATAAAACAGTAGCTGGGTCAAATATCTACTAAAAATGTAGCGACTACTTTATCAGTCTACCAAATCCTAATATAACAGTAGATGGATCAAATATCTACTATTGAAAAATGTAGCAAATACTAGATCACAGTCTACCAAATCTGAAGAAAACAGTAGCATGAGTAGAGGTCCGTTTTTGAACATTTTTGGCTTTACAAATGCTTTAAATATCTAGGAAAAGTCAATTTCTTCAAGTCTTTATATTTACATTATGCTAAATTGTTTCTCTATCTCTGGACTAACCTGTAAGGTTGGTATCTTGAATCGTCTGGTGGACGTCATCTCGTCTGTTTCTATCAAGCAGTATTTCTGTACTGTCGTATGTACTGTTTGAACCCATCTAGAGAAGATGAGTTATTCTCAGTTTTACAAATTCAGACTTCATTTCAATTCACTATGGTAAACCTTAAAGTTTTATCTCAGTAACAATGAATGATATTTAAGTTTATTTCAAAGCTAATGCTTCACAAATTTGAAATAGTTAAAGGCCCAAACCTGTTATAGTAGTACTTATTAGTATAGATAATAAGTCCCAAACCTGTTATAGTAGTACTTATTAGTATAGATAGTAAGTCCCAAACTTGTTTTAGTAGTATTATTAGTAAAGATAATAAGTCCCAAACCTGTTATAGTAGTACTTATTAGTAAAGATAATAAGTCCCAAACCTGTTATAGTAGTACTAGTTAGGTTAAGATAATAAGTCCCAAACCTGTTATAGTAGTACTAATTAGTATAAGATAATAAGTCCCAAACCTGTTATAGTAGTACTAGTTAGTATAAGATAATAAGTCCCAAACCTGTTAAAGCAGTACTAGTTAGTATAAGATAATAAGTCCCAAACCTGTTATAGTAGTACTAGTTAGTATAAGATAATAAGTCCCAAACCTGTTATAGTAGTAAATCCTTAATATCTTCTTGGATAAGTTTCCTTTTGTTACAGCGGGATCAATGTAATCCTAAAATTAGAACATTCAAATTAATCTTATGAATTATATCATAGACGTGATATAAAGTAACAATCGTGCTGTAATGTTAAATATTAAGTTTTTCTTCGAAAAATTTTATATATTTCTTTAGGGATTTTTTCATTTTATATGAAAAAAATAGAAATGAACTTATATTTTATTTTTCAACGTTGTTAAAAACAATTCTTATATCTACAACTAACCATTGCATCAAGACAAGTATGCAAACATTTGAAAAATGACCTAAGAATTTAAGTTTTTAGACTTTTTCATTCTCAATTTTACAGACTTCATAAAACTCAAAATAATTTTTTACCTTAATATAAAGATCTGCAGCACTATTACTATGCGTACAAACCAGGATTCTTGATGTCGTCTCCTTTATTAAACTTTCATTTATAAATATATATTTTCCAAGGGATGTAATCCGTCGTCTTTGCAATAAGGGCAGAGATCAGGGACCAAAGGGAATCGGTGTTATACAGGGTGTCCCACATCAAGTTAGACCACGTCAATGGGTCTAAATTACGATTTGGGGGATAAATCAGAAAATTTAAGAAGAATACATAATTTTGAAAAACTTGATAAGGCTAATGGAATTTTTTTTGCAGAAAATGATATATTTTTCGAGTACTATGTGCGTATTTTTGGCGTTAAAGATTGGAGATAATCTAATATGATATGGGACGCATTTGAACTACTGCCGTTTGAACTATTGAATATGCATGAAAAAATAAAGGTCAATAATTATAATCAGAAAATAGTTTACAGCTGATCAAAAAATATTTCACATATGGTCATAAAAATAATTCAAACGACCAAAAAAAACATATTTCAAATGAAGCATTTGATAGTTCAAATCAGTGCTTAGGATCCATTTAATTTTGATGCTGATCCGCACTGGAAAAAAAAAGACTATCCCTCTTCCGCTTTTGTCATTTGTGGACATATTTTTTGAAAGAAGGATGGAAAGCTAGACCAACCAACGCATATTTTGTTTTATAGAATGTAACATATTTTCAAAGTTGGATTCGTCTTAAAGTAACATTTCATAATTTTTTCAAAGCAAGGGCGTTTAAATGCCCTGCCCACTGCCACCACATATTCTTAAAATGTTTTCTTAATTTCAAACACGACTGCTGTTCTTTCAAAATTTCAACAAAATTGTCATGCGCCNTCCCCCACCACTGACAAAGGCAAAAACTATTCTCCAAATTTTGATTCATAATCAAAATAACGTCTACAAAAATCCCCCTCGACTTTCTATGTACATGTTGACCTTTCGTCAAATTTTAAGGGGACTGTAAGTGTACAATTTCCCTGTACACATTGCTTTAATATCTTAGGAGAATTATCGACTTTATTTAAGTAGCAAAATTTAGAAATGCTTTAAAATATTCAAAATGGTACACTTAAAATCAGTAATATTTTCCATTTCTCTCTGTAAAGGAACTTTTCTCGGCTGTTTTCCTGCTTTAGCAAAAGTAAAAATCCATCAACTGCTTTAAAAAAAAACTACAGCAGACGGCTCCATTCCCAAATTATAAAAATCCCTTGCGTAGAATTATCCTGCAACTTCATGAAAAAAAAAAATTTAGATAATAAAAGTTTTTCCTTCAGTAACAAATCAATAGCTTTGCCGAGTGTGAATGTTTTTCCAGTTCCGTACGGTCCAATTATTAGAATAGGGGGCAGGTGAACTGCAGGAGGGGAGGTGATAGCTAGCACCGCCTCCTTCTGCTTAGCGTTGAGGAGAGGGTCCAGAGTCTCCTTCCAGTTGTGCGAGGGGGACCAGGGGATAGACAAGGAGATGCTGATGTCAGGGTATACTACTCTTAGATCGGTCAATCTAGAAATATGTATGTGAATATATGTAAAAAATACTTTATTGCTTGTTGTCTATGTTATTAAAAAATATTTGTGAACAGTTTTCATTTATTCCATGTTCTTCCATTTGTTTCCTTTCCTGTTTTCATTTACTAATTTTTCCATGTACATGTATTATACATGTACATGTATTATTTCAGGATTTATTCTAAAACCTCTTAATAACTCTGTTAAACTTAGATTCATTAATCTCTAGACCGAAATATATTTTTAAACAAATATGTGACACGAACACCTATGTTATCTAATCTTTAACAATTTTAAATTGGTTTCAGTTATTTTATAACCACGTTTTTTGTCATCTTTAGATATTAAAAATGTCCTGGTATGAACATTGAACCTACCTATCTACAGCATAATGCATCTCTACTAAAGAAAGTCTGCTGAGTATGAACCTACCTATCTACAGCATAATGCATCTCTACTAAAGAAAGTCTGCTGAGTATGAACCTACCTATCTACAGCATAATGCATATCTACTAAAGAAAGGTCTGCTGAGTATGAACCTACCTATCTACAGCATAATGCATCTCTACTAAGGAAAGTCTGCTGAGTTTAAACTGAATCTCAGATTTAATCCTCGTATCCGTCTCAAGATTCAAAACTAAGAAATAATTATAAAATTTATTTAAATATTTAGTAAACAAATAAAAAATAAAGAAATAAGAATTTTAAAGCTAATTCTAAATCCCAGATAATCACATTTAAAAATCATGTTTCATTCCTTAATCGGATTAAAAATAATGAAGATATGTAGTTTTTCCGTCTTAAAAATATATTTTTTTAAAGATTTCCTTCATTGTCTTTAATGCAATAATCCGGCAGTTACTTTTATCCAAAACCGCAACAGAAAATAATCAGTATCATTTTTGCTTTTACAAAAGGGTAAAGCTATGAATGAGGCATGTCTTTCTACAAAGTCTTAAGTTATGAAATTTCCTACCTAGAACAAGTGCAGCAGGTAACCTTACGTAAATCACAGATTTGGCAGTATCTTCTATCAAACATTCCCAAACCTAATCAAAACATTAAATATAATCAAAACATCATTCTCTAGATCCTTTTTACTCTAACGCAGAATTTTGAAGATCTTTATAAATTCTATCTTCATTTTGTTAAACCTTGGATATGTGACGTCATGTAAATGTTCTCCCCTGTCATTTTTTAAGTTTTCCCCTGTTATTTGTAAATGTTTTCCCGTGTTATTTGTAAAGTTTTCTCCTGTCCTTTGTTAAGTTTTCCCCTGTTATTTGTTAAAGTTTTCCCCTGTTATTTGTAAAGTTTGCCCCTGTTATTTGGTGAAGTTCAAGAATGTTATTTGTAAAGTTTTGAATGTTATGTGTAAAGTTTTGAATGTTTTTTGTAAAGTTTTGAATGTTATTTGTAAAGTTTTAAATGTTATTTGTAAAGTTTTAAATGTTAGTTGTAAAGTTTGGAATGTTATTTGTAAAGTATGGAATGTTATTTGTAAAGTTTTGAATGTTATTTTTAAAGTTTGGAATGTTATTTGTTAAGTTTTGAATGTTATTTGTAAATGTTTTCCCATGTTATTTGTAAAGTTTTCCCCTGTTATTTGTAAAGTTTTGAATGTTATTTTTAAAGTTTGGAATGTTATTTATTAAGTTTGAAATGTTATTTGTAAAGTTTTGAATGACAAAGTGTTAACGATTAAATGCCGAGTATGTTGACTCCCAATTCTGTTTTTTCAATATCCAGCTCCCCAAAAATAAACATAATGAGATATTTGGGCACTTATTTTTAATATGTTTTTTTTGGATTATGAAGAAATTTTTTATTAGGTTCTATAAGTTCCGGCATCTGTCATAATTATAATAATAATCATAATAATCATAGTAACTAATAAATAATTGGAATCGATTATAATTGCTTATTGGTTAATATTAAATCCCTCCGAAGTACTGTTAAGTTATGCTAATTATGCTAATTATGCTACTAATTATGCTGGTTTAATTAAAATGTTAAAAGATGTTTTCTCTAGGTATTACAACATCTGTTTAGAGCATGCAACGATGCTCTTAAAGAAAACTGCAACGAACAGTAAGGACGTAATAAATCAGTTATTATAACTACGCTTCCATATAACTTAAATATCTTAAATGGAAAAATTTCATTAAATTAATATTTTTTCACAATCACAACTGCAATTTCTTCAAGATTTATATTTGGACATTTGAGATCGTAAAAAATGTGTAAAGCAGTAAAAAGGTGACAAAAATAGAACAATTTTTTAATCATGACCTTTTAAAAACTAAACTTATCGTCACTTCAAATACCCCCCCCCCCCGGGGAGACCATTTTTTTAATATAAAAACGAACAGTTAAAAGGTTTATGAACCTACCTATCTACAGCATAATGCATATCTACTAAAGAAAGGTCTGCTGAGTATGAACCTACCTATCTACAGCATAATGCATCTCTACTATAAAATCTCATTTTTTACGATTATAACTAGAATATGTGGGTACCTTGTCGAAACCTTTCTTTATATAAAGGGGAGGGCCGGGAGGGGGATATGGTCGACTGTGCGTGGCCCTAAAAATGTGGAATATGAGACAGTAAAACCTACTTTAGAATTGGCAGAGGCTACTTTCTTCTTCTTCTCTGTCTTCTTCTTTCCTTTCTTCTTCTCCGCAGAGTAGTCAGGATCCGTCCTCAACAGCACAGACGAACATTTTGTCAGGATAAGTTTTCCAGCCTAGATGGTCATTTAATCATATTATCACTGACTTATTTACTCATTTATGCATTTAATCCCTCAATTATTTACTCATTTTATCATATTATCACTGAATTATTTACTCATTTATGCATTTAATCCCTCAATTATTTACTCATTTTATCATATTATCACTGAATTATTTACTCATTTATGCATTTAATCTCTAAATTATTTACTCATTTATTTATTTAGTCACATTTGATCACTGAATCATTTACTAATTTTATCACTGAATAGCTTATTTATATTATTACTAAATTATTTACTCGCTGGTTCATTTATTAGTTTAATCACTTAACTAATAAATCCATTATTATTTTTTTAAAGTTAAATTTATTTTTACCCAAATAACTCTCATTTTAGAATCGTTTGAGAATTCAGAGTTAATTTTAATTTTTCGGACTATCTCTTACCTTTAATTTTTATTTCAATTCTACCAAATAACTCTCACATTAGAATCGTCTGAGAGTTAAATTCAATTTTAACAAATAACTCTTACCTTAGAATCTTCTGAGAGTTCAGAGTTTAATTCAATTCTACCGAATAACTCTCCAGGTCTAGCATACTTGGCAGTGGATGCATTGGACGGTGTAGCAGATAGCAAATACCTCTCTGTAATCTGAACATTTAATCCATGATTAGGATACATTTTGGTTGTATCTGACTCCATCCTAATAACATGAACCCGGATCCATCTTCTAATAACATGAACCAGGATCTGAATCCATCTTAATAATATAAACCCGGATCCGGATCCATCTACTAATAACAAGAACCCGGATGCAGATCCATCTACTAATAACATGAATCCGGATCCGGATCCATCTACTAATAACATGAACCAGGATCTGAATCCTTCATAATGTCATGAACCCGGATCCATATATTAAAAACATGAACCCGGATCCGAATCCGTCTACTAATAACATGAACACAGATCCAAACCCATCTATCAATAACATAAACCCGGATCCGGATCCACCTACTAATAGGATGAACCCGGATCAGGATCCACCTACTGATAACATGAACCCGAATCCGGCTCCATCTACTAATTGCATGAACCCCAATCCGGATCCATCTACTAATTACATGAACCCAGATCCGGATCCATCTACTTTTAACATAAACCCGGATCCGGATTCACCTACTAATAGCATGAACCCGGATCAGGATCCACCTAATAATAACATTAACCCGGATCCGGATACATCTACTAATAACATGAACCCGGATAAAAATTTATCTACTTATAACCGGGTGCAGTACAAAAAAAAATTTACATCTATAATTTCATCTCTTTCCATGTTGGCATACCATTATGAATTACTTAATTTCATGGTTTCCGAATCCGGATCAATATTATAATATTTTTGTTTAAAATTGTCAAAATTATACAGCTTTTTATATTTAATTGAATATTATTTAAAACTGGAGTGTACCGAGTGCAGGAAACTGGAAAAATATGAATAAAAGAAGAAGAAGCATACATTATACATTATATAAAACATGTTGAGTTCCAGGGATTAGTGCTACTATAACCCTTGTGTAAAACTAGTTCTATACTAGGAAACAGAAACCAACTAGAAATAGAAAGCAGACAATATAAAATCCAAGGGGGACTTATATGACAACTTATTTCTTTGATGGAAGCTTTATTATTATGAAAATTGAAAAGTATTATAAATAAAAAATCAGTGATTGCGATTATTACACCTGGAAAAATATTTTATTTGACAAAAGATAAAATGCATTTGTTTCAAAATATTTGTTCGTTTTGGCGATGGGCGGGGAAAATATAACGCTAATAAAATAACTGACAAAAATATAACCAACCAAAAATATAACCATTTTTAACCAATATTCGACAAAAATATAACCAACCAAAAATATAACCATTTTCAACCAATCTTCGACGAAAAATATAACTTTTTCCGACCAAAAATAAAATTACTTTCGACCAAAAACATAACTTTTTTGGCTATATATATTATGGATATATTTTTGGTGGTTTTATTATTAGAGTTATATTTACCCCGTACATCGTTTTGGCAAATATCTTTCCACAATTTTTGCAAAATAAAATAGAACAGAAATTTAAAAACCATGATTGAACAGGCTAACTGTATCACATATATGAGCGAAGGCCGATAAAAGCAAAAAAAGAATGAAAAAAGTGTGCCCAATACAGGGGGCGGATACAGGTATTTACTAGGGTTTAAACCAAATCATAATTTTATCTTATTTGCGTACAGAGTTACCCACAAAGGATGAGAATGTAAAGACGACCTAAATCTCTTTAATATTACGATTCGAAAGTTAAATTAATTTTTCCAACTGAAAAAAATGGCATTCAATGATTTGGCAAAGAAAGAAACAAGTTTACAGATGCAGGGAATCATGAATATAAGTAAACACAAGTATAAATTTCGTACAGTCGTGTCTTGAAGTTTCATTCTTTGTGGGTAACCCTGTAGTTCCCCCAACTGCTTTATGGGGGATCAATTTTCCAAGGGAGAGCCATTACTCCAAGTCTCACCCCTGTATCCGCCCCTGCACTGACCCAACACGAGTCCACGACTTACATGAATATTAAGGTGAGCATTAAATCCTGTGATCTCCTTGTACTGGCTGAGCTCCTCCATGTAGAGGAGCTCATGAAACCTCTGCCGATATGTCTCCAGGGTCAGTCCAGTATCCCCACACGCCTAAATCAGGAATAACAAAGATAAATTATATTTTCAATGTAAGTGTCAAAACGGTCAATATTGTTATGCGTTCGGTTTTATTTCAACTCTGTAAAACCGCAATACCGAAAAATCTAGAAGTGCCTTCGTGCTTATGAAAGTAATAAAAAAAAGTTGTGATTATAATATTAAATAGTTTTGTTTCAGAACAAAATTAATCAACATTATATTTTCAATTGGCTCATATTAAATATGCTTTTAATTGTTAAAGCTAGACCATCATACATTTTTATGTTGTGTTTTCTGTTGAGAAAACACTACTTTACCTTCAACTTTGAATTCAGAAGAAGTGATATTAACAAAAGCAAAAAATACAATTTATACGAGCAGCATTCCATGAACGACCGCACAAGTAATGATGTTCATGAGGTCGATTTTAAGACATTTAGGTTTTTATGACGTTTAAAGTGCTACACAAAAGGTTTGTTATTTATCCCATTTCAAACTTGTATTCTCGATAAGTATGCTTTCATTTACAACTAGTACGATTTCTTTGAACGAAAAAACGATTTTTCTAATTGTTTTGAAAATACGTTTTGGTTAATAAATTAGGTCTGAGTAACATTTTTCATAATGTAGAAAAAGCAAGCTTGTCTTATATGCAATTTTATAAAGAGATTTACATTTTAGATTTTTTTGAAGCCTTTTCTATAAGAGGGGGGGNGGGAACTAATTTAAACTAGTTTTGTTATGCACCATCCCCCCCTTCCGTTTCCTCCCGCCTTCTTAGCAACGACTATGGTTACCTTAGGAATGCTAAAGGTTGATGGTTGAGGAATAGGATACTGGCTGAGCAGTGTATCCTCGTCCTGCTGAACCTTAGGGGGAGCAGGTTCAAACTTCAGGATATTAGAGTTAGATTCATCCCATACGTCAGATACACTTAGGATAGATTCCTGGATACATTACATTCATAACACGGGTTCATAGATCAGAATCTTGTATTTGATCAAACTCTAAGAAATACACAGGGGTGTATGATTTTGGGATGATCTGGGTAAAAAAAGAAAATTGGACCTCATAAGGCAAACCTTTTTTCTTTTTGTAACTTTTTATCAAAAAAACGTATTCTTTTCCCTCAGAATAAATTAAAATGTTTTACTTCTGGTGAAATTTCCAAGAAAAAATACAACCCGGGAAATAAATCCAATGCACGTATTTGTTTAACCTTCAAATCTTTAATAATTTTATCCAAAGAAATGTTAACCTTTTGAATGACCCATTAACGAGAGCTAAAGAAGATGTCAAATTCTAACTTTTAAAAAAATTGCTAAATTAATGAATATTTTCCTGGACTGAAAGAAGGTCATCCTCTGCTGATTCCGGAGAAACACAAACATTCACGGTCTAAACAAACAATGCATTATTTTTAAATTGAAAAATTAAACTCCTGAGACGAAATTTTAAAAATCGCGGAAAGAATATGAACTACGTCCCTTGAACTTACCGGTGGACAAGGGCAGTGGTTCAACTCCTTCCACCATTCATTAAATTTGGTCTCCGAGACTAGGTGCATTCATACTTTAAATCGTTTATTTTTTTCTGCTTTGTTCACATTTTATATCGTTGTTAATGTGTTTGAAATGTCCTCTTCCGGCCATCAAAGAAATTTAGAAAAGAATGAACGATCTATTAAGAACTCTAAAATGAAAGTCCCATCCGCAACTTGAAAAACAAAGACCGCCATTATATGTGTTTAATTTCAAGACTACGAATCCTAAGCAAAACCAAGTGCTGATTACCTGTGAAAGCAGTGGTTTAGTCCCGAAGTCGAATAGAATAGTCTGCTTGAACACTCCGAATACTTTAGTTGTAAACTTGAGCTTAAGCCGGTAATAGTACATTGAATTGTTTCTATCCCTTTCTTCTGAACCTGTACAAAGCTATTGTTAATAATGTACAGAAATTTGAATAAAGATTCTTTTATCACATGGTGAATAGAGTAGTAGTACAGTTGATCATAGTCATACAATTCATAGATTACAGTAGCGTACAGTTTATCTTGAAAAATGTCCGGTACAGATTAAAGTACATTTTACTACTCACAGATTATCTAATATCGAATATCATATGTAGATAATATAAAAAAGAAAACGGGAGAAACTGTTATTTAAGCTCAAACGGTTCCTTTCCCAAGACACAAAGAGAAAAGAGAAAAAAGGAAGAAAAAAGAAAAAAGGGAAGAAAAGAAAAAAGGGAAGAAAAGAAAAAAGGTAAGAAAAGAAAAAGGTAAGAAAAGAAAAAAAAAGGGAAGAAAGGGAAGAAAAAAAATATATTTAACTAGCTTCGGAACCCAGCTCTGCCAAGATTACTAAAAGTTACTCCCTCCGTTTACCCGCACTTGAACGATTTTACCGGAAAACAAAATTTTCCCTATAAATAAGATAAGGGTAGGATCTGAACCCCCCCCCCCCATCTTAGAGAGCCAAGACCGCCATCGGGGCTAACTCCCACGAGCTCCGGCACCCCCCGGCTCCCAAATACTACAGGAAGATGCTACCAGAATCTCAAAACCAAGCTTAAAAACATTCCTGTTGGTCTCCCGAGTTCCCCCAATCAAACTTTGAGGCAAATCGGTCCAGGGGTTCCTGAGTTATGATCGGACAAACAAACAAACAAGCACCCAAACAGAGATTACAACTTTATAGAAGAAGAATATATCAAAAGAAGAAGAAACATAATAATATCACTGTATTAACTCTGAGTCTAATAAAGAAAATTCGATAGATATTTCTTTCCCTTTATTTCTGAATGGTAATATTATTACTTTCCCCAGTTTATTAAAGGAAGAAAAAAACTATGATTTCCCAAAAATATTAAAAAGTTATCTATTGGGAAGAGGAATCAGATATTTTAGAAAAGTTTCCTATATTTCCTTTATATTGAGAACTGAGTCTCATTGTACTTTAAGTTCTATTGGAAGAGAATTAAAAGAATCTTCAAGAACCTTAATGTAGCGCAGGCATTAACTGCTTGGAGTTTTAGACAACTTAGTGAGTCAAAGAAGACTTTTTCCAATTTTTTAATTATCATTATTTTTTATCTGCTAGTTTTGGCTCACACAAGAAATTATGCAAAACCTTTTTGAGGAAAAGTATCATATTTGTTTCCTTAACATCAATATCATGTTTTGCCACCATTAAAAAAGTTTTAAGAATTTTAAGAAATCTTTTCAGGGCAGCAAAACACTCCATAATACAACCAAAATACAAAAAATGTTATCCTTAACCCCGCCGCCCCAGCAAACTTCTTTTGGTTAGACCTTGGGAAACATCCCTGGCCCTGGGTAAAAAAGCGGCAAAAATGACTAAATGACTGTAAATTAAAGATAACAATCAAGGTTAGTGATGCAAAATGGCTCACATGGTAAAATAAGTGATTTAGTGCCTTAATAATAGCTATTTCGTGATAAAAAGCCCAAATAAAACGTTTCCCTCCGGAGAAGGAAATTCAGGACAATAATGACAAGGGGGTGTGGGGAAACAATTCAACTTCTAGTAAGAATATACTCCCCTGTCTCAAGTCACTTCCAGAAATATGGATTTAGGAATCAGCTTTTCTAGCAAATAGGATTTAAGGGTACTGGGGTGAATTGGACATACCACTAGGCGCGTACTCATGGGATTTTATCCAGGATGGGGCAAGATGTCTGGCCCCCTCCCCCTGGCCCAATAATTACTCTTATTTTATTAAAAGTCTACTTATCCTCATTGTATTCCACTGTATTCTCAATTCAAGAAATATATATAAACACTTGTGTGATGCATATATGATATAGCTATAATTGTTAAACATGTATCCGTAGTTAAGAAAAGGAAAAGTGGAGTGGGTGCAATTTTATGTGAATGAGAAATACTGATAAAATTACATTTGTAATAAAATGGCGCAAAGCGACAAGAACATTTTTAGCTACTTTTTAGGAGGAAAACATCTCTTTTTCAGATAGGGACTAGCTCATTTTTTACCTACCACGCATTATATTAATCCCTAGCCTAAAAATCTCAGGCTATGCCCCCCACCCCCCGTGTACAATACTGAATGCCACTCTTCAAATTGAGGGTCATTAGAAATTACGACTGCAATCTCTATAGATTGAATGCCTCATTGGCTAGAAAGTTTGACTAAATACATATACAATACATTATACCTGTTTAAAACATAATATATAACTTACAAGCTTAAGGGCCCGGCATTGCTCGTAAAAAAAAATAATTTTGATTTTTTTACCCTTTGTCACCCCCCAGCTACCCATGAGTGTCCACAAAAAATGTCAGCCCATTCGGTCCAGCCGTTTGGTCCGCCAGAGGGGACATATATATGAAAGTCTAGTTTATTATATAGATTACATTAAATACCCATTTTATATGAGAATTAAAAAATTATATCTTGTTTAGAAATGCCGCGGCGATTTCCCGGTTGTGAAATGCACATATTGCCGAGCAGAATTCCAACAGGAGAGCAAAAGTAAAACAAGCTCAGTCTGTAAACGGTAAACATTATATAATTGTGGATTTGTTAACTTATTTGTACCACAGAGACAATATTATAACTAGTAGGTGTCCCTTCTTCATGCAGGGGTGTTTATTTTCTTAAAAAATACACCCCTCCTTCTGAAAATAATTTTTTCCCTCAGATGTTATGTGTGTATGCTCTGAGCTGGGAACTTTAGAATGGGATATCCTTAATCCCGATCGGTTAATTAATCTGGAGATTAATAACAAGAGAAAATCCACCATTACTTAATCTGGATATTAAGAAAAAGAGAGGATCAAGCATTAATCCCGATATCCACCATTCAAAAGTTCTCAGATCTGACTACAAAAAAGTTAAAGGGAAATGTGGAGAAGAAATGATTTTTTAGGGGAAATTAAACGAATTTATAGGTATAAAGTAATAGAAAATAGAATTCAAGAAAATTTATACAATTTATTGTTTAAGAAATCCTATAAATTATAAAAATTTCAATTTGTAAAAAAATAGATCCCAAAAACTTGTTAAACGAATTATTTGTTTAGTTGTGAGCAGTGTGTTGCTCAGTATGGTAAACCGACCTCTTGTCAGTTTTGTCAGCTCCCTGCAGCATTTGTCGGAGGCAAGTGTCAGCGCTGCTCCTCCTACAACAAGAGATACGGGCCGCCAAAAACCTGTGAGCAGTGCAAGCAGAAATCTGCTTTCGACAAGGGTGTAAGTTTATTTTTATTTTAAATTACTCGCAAGTTTTCCACTTCTCTATTTGATACTTTTAATCCTAAATAAACATGGTTTCCCTTGTTCAGCGAGAAAAACCGGCAAATATTCCCTGTTTAAAGTTTCAGTTAAAATTTTTTTGTTATTTTATCCTGAGCCCGCGATTTTAAAGCTTCGGCTAGAGCCGTAATTCCTTAAACCCGACTTTAAGACCCAATCTTCGACCCAACTCTGACGACAGCTTGTGTCACGTGATTGACAGCTGCGAGATCTTAGGCTCGNGTGTCAGCGCTGCTCCTCCTACAACAAGAGATACGGGCCGCCAAAAACCTGTGAGCAGTGCAAGCAGAAATCTGCTTTCGACAAGGGTGTAAGTTTATTTTAATTTTAAATTACGTTTAATCCTAAATAAACATGGTTTCCCTTGTTCAGCGAGAAAAACCTGCAAATATTCCCTGTTTAAAGTTTCAGTTCAAATTTTTTTGTTATTTTATCCTGGAAAGAATCCAATCAAAGATGAAATAAGCTTCCACTTCTCTATTTCGTCGTTCAACTACTACCGCACCTAGTTTAACAATGTTGTTCATCAATTTTGATCTTTGTGAAGGACGGTGGAAAGCTGATGTGCTGGGTGTGCTCTTGTTCTTATAAACGAGCTTTGGCTAAAACAAAACAATCTGATCCAGCTAGACATTCAAGGTAACTATCTACAAGGAGATATAGAACCTAACAATAGGGATAGAGTTTCTAGACCATCTCTAGAAATAGCTTTATTTTAAACAAACAATATTTGATAAACTTCTGTGGTTTAGATTAGGAAATACTATTGTTTGGCTAGGAAATACTTTTTTAGGCTAGGAAATACTATTGTCTGGCTAAGAAATACTATTGTCAGGAGACTAGGAAATTCTTTTGTTATGAGGCTAGGAAATTTTATTGTTAGGAGGCTAGGAAATGCTTTTGTTAGGAGGCTAGGAAATACTATTGTTGGGAAGTTAGGAAATACTATTGTTTTTTGTCTAGGAAATACTATTGTTAGGAGGCTAGGAAATGCTTTTGTTAGGAGGTCAGGAAATATAATTGTTAGGAGGCTAGGAAATACTATTGTTAGGAGGCTAGGAAATACTATTGTTTGTTAGGCTAGGAAATATTATTGTTGGGAGACTAGGAAATACTACTGTTGGTTCAGGAAATACCAAGTATTGTTTAATGTTTATTGGTCACGGAGCTGTCTTTATGCGTCTACTCTTATTGAATTTATATAGAGTTTATTCTATTCTATTGCTCTTCACCTGGTTCCCAAAATATTGAAAAAAACTGTTTTACAAAATAATGAAAAATAGTCAAGTTGGAGCTGCAAAACTAGGGAAAACAGCTGATTTTGTGATTTCCCTAATGTTTTCCACTTAAATCCTCCTAGATCGCATGTTTTTGATTATTTTTACAAACCGTTTGTTGCGTTGAATTACGCTTTGCAAGACGGATCTGTTGATACCTATATCGACATATTTTGAAAAATATTTAAAATCACTTGTGTAACCGGTTTTTCGGCCACAAATAGACATTTTCAATTGTCAGTTTTGATTTTATCGAGCTTCTTGTAAATTGCGCTTAAAATAAAAAAAAAACACAATAGTATTTACTTCTTGATTTGTGTTTCATGAAACTGTTTCACAATTGTCTATAGTTAAACAATGTCTTACAGTTTTTCTAGATCAATGGCAGTTTTATTTTAGATTTTAAAGTTGTTTTTTTTCAGGGTGTTCAAGAAAGAAAAGAAAACTGAGGAGTCGGATAGACACAAGAAAAGAGAAAAATACATGAACAGCAAGAAACCGAACAGACCAGACGTTACAAAACAAGAAACAGACTTACACAGTGCTAGTAAAAGTGTAGCAAAACGTGAGCGCGGCGAGGAGAATACCGATCATGTCGGGGAGATCACCCAGCTCAAGGAGAAGATCGTTTTTCTGGAGAAAACGATCAAACAGAAGGAGAATCAGATGATCATCAAGGATCAGGAGATTACACAGATGAAGGCAAAGTTGTTCAACGAGGAGAAGTTGATCAGAGAGAAGATGAAGATGATGGCCAAGGTCAACGACGACAAGACCATGGAGCTCAACAGTAAGATTCGAAGTCTTCAAAATGAAATCTCAAAACTGAGAAAAGACGCGAAACCGGTGAAGCTGAAAAAATTGGACAATCTCTTTAAAGACTCGAATCGGCGCAAGGTCTCGAGTCGAACCGCCAGTCCTGTAACTCGAAGTCGCAGCAGATCACCGGTCAATCGCGCTAAGAGCAAATCTCCTTCTCCAAACCCCATGGCCCGATCCCCCCGCAGTAGCCCTAGTCGATCCCCCTCCCCCGCCGCCAAGGTCCCCAAGCTTGACAGTCCGGTGCCAGAGGAGGAGCCTGAAAATGCGGGAAATGTTGAAGGAAATCTACGAAACTCCCGCTCACCCTCCCCTGACCAGAACGGGGAGAAGAGTCGTTCAACATCGAAATCCCCTGCAAGGGATTCAAGATCAAGATCTAGGTCGAAAAGTTCCTCTCCATGATTCCACGAAATGTCTTCACTCAATTCTTTTACTCATTATAAAGCTATAAACCTTATTAAATGAAAATGTGACTACGCCAATAAAGGGACTGTACACTTTATTTCAAGTGACACTTCAGATAAAGAGGGGATACTTGATTTACTACAATAAACTTAAAATTAAGAAACCACGACTAGAAATATTAAAAACGAGAATAGTTAAAAAGTTACGCTCAGCTTTTTAATGACCCTCTTTAAATGGAATGTCACTTTAAAAAAGTTAATAGTTCCTTTATTTCTTAAATATTAATTTGTTTTCTGCATTAATATGCTGATATTATTATTTCTTATTTATAATTAACCGATCATTCAACAATGTCAAGTTTTTTTTATGACTTTAAAGTTCCTTCGCAGAGGTTTTAATAAAACTATTTTTATTATATTTTATTTTAAGTATACATACTCATTTCTCATACTGGCCCAAGTGCTTGAATAAGCAAGAAAAAAGTATTACAATTGTAACTAAATAAATAAAAATTAAATCTTTAATTTATTATACACTTATTATGAAAGTTGTCACTTACAATATTCAATGTCATTGTAAAATTTATAGAAATAAATATTTTTTGCCAAAAGTAATTGAAGAATTAAATTATGGAGTTCGATTTTTAAACTTGTATCAGGACACTCATTAGGGCTCAATATCGTCCATTTTGCATAAAAAAGTTAACCCCAACTTTTTGCTGTTTCAAGGCTGATGATTGTCTACAAAACTTCTGAATGAGTAAAAAAAATTAGGTTTTAAAAAACTCAAATAAAGATTGTATTAAAGAAACCTTGAAACCTGGGGCAAAATGTGCGTAAGGGTAATGTTACATCATCTATACGCAACATCCCCCCTACTGAACTTCTGATCTAATAACTTTCCGACCTACTGCAATATCGGACCTACACCAACTGTTTATTTTAGTATTATTTGAGGGTTAGGTTAGGTTATTACAATTTCTGGGCCGAGCGCTGCGGCTAGGACAGGCTAGGGGCCGGGCGCTGCGGCCACAAGTCCATATAGCAGCTATAAAACCACGTGCTAGTAGGTCGGATGTGTAGTATAGCGGATTTGGCGCAGGTCAGAAGTGGAGTATGGCGGATATGTGTAGGTCGAAAAATACACCACCGTGTGTAAGCATGTTCATCAAAACAGTGTCGCATATGATATTTTTCGCTCCGTTTTTTAGATATATTTTTTCTCCTGACCATGGTGTGAGAAAAGCAATTAAGCAATCTTAAAATTTGGTACAGTTCTCAGGTTATTGTGGAACCTTTTAAACTATTAGAAATAACATGTCAGTAGCAGGATAGTACAAAAAGAGACATTCAGTTCTCAGCCCTTGTTTCATCTTTTATGTTGCTGCAGTTAAGTCTATGTCTATGCCGCTTTCTTTACGGGTTAAGAGAGTGTGTGCTATTGTAAATTTTTAGAAAGCATTTGATTGTTCATAAAGTAAAAAATTGATGTTTTTTTAATTAAGAAATTTCTAATATTTTTTCTACCAAAAATCATTCATTCCCCCTCACGTGGATTTAACAGTTTTGTCAATATTTCAGAAAGCTCGAACTTTCGTTCACAAGTTGACCCATTATACATAACTTTTTAGCCTTTTTTAAAGTACTTTTTTGGCGGCATATACATCATTTTTAACGAAAAAGTATAAATAAACAAATCCGTAAGTTTAAAGATTGTTAAATTATAGACCAAAACACGTCGTTTGATTTCAAATAAAAGAAACCGAATGCATTTCACTCTAGTTAGTCCGGGGTGCACTAAAACTCATGTCATCAAAAGAATAATGGTAAAAAAAAAACATTTTAACATTTAAAAACTAAAATTTGAGAGATGTTATTTATTACTACTTTAAAAAGCAACAGATAACAATAATGCAACAATGGTTTAAAGGGAACTCTTGCTTTTAAAAAGTCCCTTTAAGCTTAAATATTTACAAAAACATTTTTACAATTGACAAACTTTCACTTTTAAAATATAAAAATAAAGAACTACAAATTTCTAATTGTATAAACATGTAAAATAAGTTTTATCACAAATGGTATAGAGTTAATTGATCCTAATTATAATAAGTAAAAAAGGTAAATTTAGGTAACTCGAAGAATGAATATTAAATTTAAACATAAAATATAAAATATTAACGTTGTCATTTGATTAGATAACTGCTGGGTGGTTCATGCAATCAAAATATAAATGGAAAACAAATAGAAGGCGTAAATTCAAGTAAAGTCATCCTTCATTTAAAGATTGAAAATGTCCGATTTACAAGGGTCCTCTTAAAAGCTTTGTCTGAATTATGATATCAATGTTTATAGAACAGTTTGAGTGTAGCGGTAAAATATAAGTCCAAGGTGTTGCTACAATTCAAAGTCGACCCTGTCTTAAAAATTGATGAGACTGTTTGTAAGCCGGCTGAATCTATGTGAAATAAAAAGATATCAGAACTAGACATTGTTCACGATTGTTAACGACGTTGTCTTAAGAATATTATATGCTCAGACAGCAGTATGAAGGGTCCCGTTATGAATCGGAGAAAAATGGACGGTTACGTCTACAGTCCCTTTAATAGGATAGTTTATACTACTTTTGGATATTCGGAGAGTATTAATACATTGCATATCCGGATATTTAACTATATAGAGCACAAACTCCTTGTATCCCGGATATTAAACTTTATCCTGGATTTCAGGAGAGTACTCCTTGTATCCTGGATATCAGGAGAGTAAATACTCCCTGTATCATGAATATCAGGAGAGTATATACTCATTGTATTATAAATATCAGGAGAGTATTTACTCCTTGTATCATGAATATCAGGAGAGTATATACTCCTTGTATCCTGGATATCAGGAGAGTATATACTCCTTGTATCCTGGATATAAGGAGAGTATATACTCCTTGTATCATGGATATCAGGAGAGTATATACTCCTTGTTTCCTGGATATCAGGAGAGTATATACTCCTTGTATCACGGATATCAGGAGAGTATATACTCCTTGTATCTTTGATATCAGGAGAGTATATACTTCTTGTATCATGGATATCAGGAGAGTATGTACTCCTTGTATCACGGATATCATAAGAGCATATACTCCTTGTATCATTGATATCAGGAGAGTATATACTCCTTGTATCACGGATATCAACAGAGTATATACTCCTTGTATCATGGATATCAGGAGAGTATGTACTCCTTGTATCATGGGTAACAGGAGAGTATGTACTCCTTGTATCACGGATATCAGGAGAGTATGTACTCCTTGTATCATGGATATCAGGAGAGTAAATACTCCTTGTATCATGGATATCAGGAGAGTATGTACTCCTTGTATCATGGGTAACAGGAGAGTATGTACTCCTTGTATCACGGATATCAGGAGAGTATGTACTCCTTGTATCATGGATATCAGGAGAGTAAATACTCCTTGTATCATGGATATCAGGAGAGTATATACTCCTTGTATCATGGATATCAGGAGAGTATATACTCCTTGTATCATGGATATCAGGAGAGTATGTACTCCTTGTAACCCCGGATATTCTTGAACTGTTTCCGGATCCTATGAAGTATATCTGCCGGCTGGAGAATGATTGATATCTCTCTATTATCTCGAGCACACGCCTGTATCCGCTCCCAACATTCTCCGTCCTTAAAATAAATATTTTTAAATATTTTTTAAAAATATCTTCTTAATGTGTGTTAAAGTACTAAGATCAAAAATTAATTCTCTCTGTATAACATGTAAATATAGGATTCGATGATTATGTAATAACTGAAATGATAAATATGTTGTATTGTTATGTAATGAGTAATGATCAATGTCGTCTATTTGTGCATAATTTTGCATATTTTTCTTCTTTCTTTTGGAAAGCTGTATTTTCAAAAATTTATTTCAACAAATTTAAACTACAACATTTACATATGTATTACTTTTTACATCTTTGTGTGTGAATAAATTTTTATAATGTAATAATATTTCTTTAACTTTCTTAAAGCAGAACGAAATACTTGCCTCAAACTTAATTTTTTTTCCCTATAAAGGAATTAAAACTTGGCGACAAATTGTGATTTTCTAATCTCTATGTCTTTGAACCCAATCTAAGGTTGATATTTCAAAGGTTAACATCATCAGGTTGCAAAGATATAGGGAGTTTGGGACAAAGACTCAATTCCTTTGTAGCCTTAATGTGTTGGTCAACGAAATCAGGTTGCTAAGATATCAGGCGATTGTTCAGTTCTTTAAAAAATCTTTGTTTAATATTTGTATTCCCAAACTCAACTGAAAGTTTATGATCATTTCATCCTCAACTATAAGCTTTCGATGTAAAGAAGTGTTCTGAAGTGAATTTGTAGTACTCTGACCGACGAAATAGTGGGGTGAGTGATTACATAAAATAATTACATACATTTTACAAATAAATATATATCAAATCCCCAAATTGATTGAACTATTTATTTTATTTTGTGTCCAAAAATCCCTGCTGAGTATAAGCGTTTGGTTTCCTCAATTATAATTCAATCTGTTTTTGGTTTATGACTAACCCTTCTTTTGATTTATGACTAACCAATCTTTTGGTTTATGACTAACCCATCTTTTGATTTATGACTAACCAATCTTTTGGTTTATGACTAACCCATCTTTTGGTTTATGACTAACCCATCTCTAAATGTACAAAGTTGTCTTATTATACTTCTTCCTAGATATGCATGTCAATTAGAGAAAAAGAGAAAAAGTGAAAATGTCTGATTAATTGGTTCAATTGTGATCGAAAGTCCCAGCTTACTAAAACTATAGAACTGAACTGTTAAATCTGCTTGACTAACCCTGGAGAACAGATTGACCGGACGTCCATTAAGCTCCGTAACTACCAGAGCAACAGCAGTCTGACCATCAAAACTTCGAACTTTCGGCAATATCCCTGGAAAAGAAAATTGAAGTCAACAGCTCTTGACTTGTGAAATCCAACATATTTTAGGAAACAAAATAGACGATAAAATTCTCATTGTTAAACAGATTCAGGTTTTAAGGATACCATTGTGAATAGGAGATAAATCTCTTTAAATGGAGAGTCAATTGAAGATACGTCTTTATATACGCATACCTGCTGCTGCAGCTACACTACCAGGAACTATCTCTCTTATCTCTGGTGTATTATTATAATCAATTACCTGCTGCTGCAACTACACTACCAGGAACTATCTCTCTTATCTCTGGTGTATTATTATAGTTTAATTACCTGCTGCTGCAACTACACTACCAGGAACTATCTCTCTTATCTCTGGTGTATTATTATAGTTTAATTACCTGCTGCTGCAGCTACACTACCAGGAACTATCTCTCTTATCTCTGGTGTATTATTATAATTAATTACCTGCTGCTGCAGCTACACTACCAGGAACTATCTCTCTTATCTCTGGTGTATTATTATAGTTTAATTACCTGCTGCTGCAGCTACACTACCAGGAACTATCTCTCTTATCTCTGGTGTATTATTATAGTTTAAAATCCCTAGACTCTGTCCTTCTATCTCGGGTTTCAGAAGATATATCTGAGAGAAGGGAAACCTCCTGAAAACAAACAAAAATATGAAAAACAAGCAAAAAAGCTGCCACAGGTGAAAAATTTTGAATGAGAATCAGTTAATCTCTTCAACTTCAATCGAAATTTTGGAAGTTGATTCATCTTAATCGTAAGAAAAGATATATCAGCTGATGCCAGTTTACTTATTTCGAAGATTTCTCTCATTGGTAAAATCTTTGAAAGTTGACAAATTAGAAAAGAGTTAAATGAAGGATTTTAGTAAAACTTAGGGGGGGGGGGGTTAGTAACAAACAAAATTGGTAAAATTAGGAGATTTTCTTTTTGTTTATTTTTCCTAAACATGATTTTTGTAATTGGAAAAAGCTTGTTAGAAATCGAAACTGAAATAGAAAATTCGTCTTCATTGTATTGATATACACGCCGACCACTATATTTGACCTGATAATGATTTCTGTATGTAGATCTGCGGGTTTCAGTTTTACAAGTTTAGAGAATTCCTCACTTCGTCTTATTATCACACCAGATACACTGCAGGCAATCAATCAATATTCAAGACTGTAAACATAACTTTAAGTGACCCTTGAGTTATAAATTGGCATGTCCGGTTCACAACGGTAACATCAGAAGCTTTGTCTGATAAATAAGATTTCCATGTGTTTTCTATTCAAAAATAGAAATTTTTTAAATTCAAGATTACTTTTTAAGAGTGACTTGCAGATTCATGCTGAAAAACAATAGAGAAAACTTTTTAATTTTCAGAATCACAATTTTTCTAGCTTAAGAATCACGACAATATCTTCCACATTTTTGATTAGATATACACTAAAACGGTCCTTATTAAAGGTAGGAGGCTAAGAACACGTGAAATTACACAAATTCATAATTTTGAACGTCGACTTTGCACTCAAACTCAGTAAATACACATCGTGGAAACGTTTTATATGTCTCAAATGAATCCTAAACATTTTTTGTCCACAATACTATACTACATATTCAGTTCAACCACCATACATTGCTGGTTGACTAACCCATCTTTTGGTTTATGACTAACCCATTCATATAAATTCTGGCAGATCTTGAAATAATATAATTATAAAATTATAAGATTGTATTAGGTATTATTTATGTTTTAAGAAAAAACTCAATTCCTTTAATGCTTTGTTGAAATTTGTTAAATTTTGACTTTTGAATTCATTGATTTTTGCCTTAGAATCTGATCTCCCATATGGAAAGCATTGATTAGGACAGGATATTCCTTCTGTTTCCAACCTAAATAGTGTAATATAAGTGAACAAAGCAGTTTCGCATGTTTAAATGTTTATTACTCACATAATGTTTCTTGCTTTTACATGCAATCTTAGAGAGATATAAATATATATATTTAATATATTTAAATATATATATTTAGTATATTTAAATATATCTGGGATATACTTGACGAGACATTTATCTGACAGTTGCAGTACCCTGTTTTTCTGAAGGGACATTTGTAAACGTTGTAAAAAGAGGCAATTCAGAAAGTACTATAACAAGAGTTGTTGCTCAGAGGCCAGTATTTATATTCATCTTTTATACTTTTGTTTCTCGTATACTGTTGTTACTTCTGTTATTTTTCTTTTCTATTTTAACCTTCTCATTTTATCTTTTCCTTTAATCTTTTCTTTGTTTGTTCCTTTTTCCTATAACCCAATCAACATCAAACATTAAGTATCCGCAGTATTTTGAATTTTAAAAACTTTGCCTCGAAACCTCGTTTTTTAAAAATTTGTTAAGACAAATATAAACAATCTCAGTTTTATTTGTGTAACCTTTGATTATTTTCAATACAGAAACTTTGATATACTATTCTTATAAACATATCGGGATTCTTGGTTTATCATCCTTTGCTTAGGTGTACTTATCATTTTTTAATCAATAGAAAGAAGCATTCACAATTTTCTGTTTACCACTGTATATATTTATTTATACCTGCCACCCAAACACATCCAAACATATCTACAAGAGCCAAGGAACTCTGAACATCCTTCTTCCTAAAAACAAATGTTATCTTTGTAAATATATAAAAAAATCTCTGCGTGTCTTGGTGTTTCTTTGAATGTCTGATCATAACTCATGAACCCCTGGACCGAATTTTAAAAATACAAGACCAACCATCCTTGAGATTAAAGTATTTAAAGTCATTAAAGTATCATCCATTGTGTATATCCAAGCAACTGTCATCATTGATACAAATTATAAATTCTTTTGTCAAAATTATATATTCTAAGCAAATGGGCAGATTAACTGTAAAATGAGTGTGTCCTCTCTCAATAAGGGAATAACTCATTAAAAATACATCTATTAATATATATATTGAATTCTTTATATTTAATTAGCCCCAAAAAAAGTATAAAATTCCAGAAAAGTCTACATTTAAAGGGACTGTAAGCTTTTCAAGTGAACCTCCAATTAAAGGTGAATACCAGATTAACAACGGTACCCTTAAAAGTTTACAGAGGCGTATTCAGGGGGGGGGGCTATGGGGACTCAACCCCCCTTGACCAGTGAAATCAATGGGGTTCAAGAGGTTTTCAGGCCCCAAAGTATTAATTAGATATAAATGTTTTTGTTTTTTTTGAACTTTACATTTGCGGGTTCTCTGTGAGAGTGATCAGCGCATTAAGGAGCAATGGAGAAACTCACAGATAAAAAACACTTTTTGTGTCAGAAAAACGACGGTATATATTTTTTAAGATTAAGGTATCTTTGTAAATCGGGCATTGTCATCTCTGCATGGAGGGTCACTTTAGATTACGCTTACAGTCCCTTTGATAGGTACAAATTTGGTTTTAAACTATAGCGAAGAATAATTGACACTTAAAACCAGAAAGGAACCAATTTAAGCTTCCTTTCTCATACAACTATTTGATCATTTAATATTTAATGCAACTTAATTTTAGATGAGTTAGTTGCACTTCATAGGACTGCTTTATTTTTGCAATAAAATTAAATATTTTTTGTAGTACAAAAAATTATTTTATTTTTGGACACCCTGTAGTTAATAACATTGAACCGAGGAAATGATTGATGTCAATGATGACACGAATAGGATATACTTAGATTCCCACTTCCGGGGGTAACTAAAAATTAATATATATATATATATATATGGGTGTCCGTTTGCTACGGAAACAAAGCAATACATCTTAAGTCCAAATAATTACCATAATCGGTTTTTACGAATTTTTTGCATATGGGAAATGGAAAAAATTTAAATGTATTTTTACTGATAATCTTTTCCCTATTCTAATGAGGAAGTTTAGAAAATAATAAAATTTAATTTCTGAGCAATTTCATATTGAAATGGCTCTTGAATGACTTGCAGTGCAAATTAGTGCATATGGAGGAAATTATGGTTCAGAAATAACTTGAATTCAAATATTTCTACCTTTCACTAAACGCAAGGGTTTCCACCGGAATTCTGAGTTGTGGTTTACGTACGGAAATGATCCGGAAATTTTTTCCATTTCCATTATGGAAATGGTTCCAGAAATCCGGAATGATTTCCGGAACGATTTTTTCCCCGTAAACCAGAAATTTCCGCATCGTTGTTCTGGATTTCGGAACATTCTGGAATTCCGGAACTTTCCGGAAATTTCCTGAATGTCGTTACAGTAAGTTTCCGGGAAAAATCGTTCCGGAATTTTCCGGAACAAAGTGCGAGAATTACATTAAAGCCTCTAAAACTTATGTAAAGCCAAAACCAGTGACGTTTTATAGAATGCCCTATAAATTATACTCATTAGTCAAAGTTACAAGTATGAATTGTGATAAGCCGAGGGGAGGGGGGAGGCTAGCACTAGTAGTACCGTACACAGGGGGGGGGGAATAATCCTCGCGCCCCCTTGAGCTTAAGCCCCCAACCCTCCACCCTGAAATGTTAAGGTAAAGGAGAAAACTACAGTGGAATAATCTTAAATATTGATGAACTGTAGTTGTAGACCAGCAGTAGCTGACTTTCAAACTTTGTAAATATTAATTTAATTAGAATAAAAATTTTACGGTTTACGTTACTTAAAATGGAAAAATTTCCGGATTACGTATCGTAAACCATAAACATGTCGGTTTCCAATTGATCCGAAATTATCCCGGAATTCCACTTTATGCAACAAATTTCCGGATCATTCCATTTTAAAAATGGAAATTTTGTTCCGGAATAATGGAAACCATGAAACGCATATAAAGTACTGCAGCCTAAAAGCTTGCTTTAATAACTGTTAATATTTCCATTTATATGCTGGTCTATACCTTCTGTAGAGTCAAAATATCATATAATGTCATTAAAAAAAACTATGCAAAATTTCGTAGATTTTTGAGAAGACCACTGATAGAAAAAAAATCTTGTATAAAATATTGTGCTTTTCCCTATTCCGACTATTACCTTAAAATAAGGCGAACTCCTCCTGGATGAGCCAACTCCTGTCTCAACCTCAGAACCTGCTGCTCCCGTAGAGATCTCCGATCTTCCTGGTTCCAGGTTCTCTCCTCAGGTGCTGGTTGAGGTATGGAACCTGCTGCTCCTGGTAAAGCAGATAATTGACAGGTTAGGCCTGGAAGAGGAACCATAGGAGGAAAACCTTTCCCAGATCCTGGAGTTGCTGAACCTAAACCTAACAATGGATGATAGGACGGAGGACGGACTCCAGGGGGTAGCTCAGCAAGTGCTCTGGTAGGACTTGTCAGCAAAGGATGCCCTCCTTGATCCTCGTACCTAGGGGCCAAAGGAAGCGGTCTTCTTGGTATAGCTCCAAGTCCTCGATCAGATTTAGGAACTGCTTGACGTGGGTTGCTTTCCACGGACTCCAAACTGTGAGTACTTGCACCTATCTCTGTACCTCCAAGCTGATTCGAGTCTAGGAGCGGTCCTAAACTGGAGGAGCGCTGAGACTTCTTTCTGATCTTCTTCTTGATATTAACCTTGTCCTCATAAACCTCTTGTCTACGCTCTGATAGACGTCTTAGAACTGGTCTGTGTGGGAGGGGAGGTGGTTCGTCTCTCAACCTTTCTCTACTACTGTAGTAACCTTCACGCTGTTTTTCTCTGCTGCGTCTGGGACTTGAGTCTCTTCTTCTAGGACTTGAATCTTTCCTTCTTGGACTTGAATCCTTCCGCTTAGGACTTGATTCTTTCTTTCTAGGGCTCGATTCTCTTTTGTAAGGACTTGATGCTTTTCTTCTAGGACTTGATGCATTTCTAGAAGTATTATCTTTCTGCATTGTATTGTCTAGTATTTTAGGGTTTGAATCATAATTTCTGTCCTGCTGTTTTGGACTTTTATCCCTTCGTTTTGGACTTGATTCATGTGATACAACAGGTTTAGATGTGTCCAAAACAATCTTATCAGTTCCAGCAATCTTATCCTCAAAATCAAAAATAGCACCATATGTATGGTTTTCATATTCTACAAACTCCACATTTACTCCTTCAGTTTCCTCCTGCTTCACTGCACCCTCTTTATCCTCATCGTCCTGGCTGTTAATTGGTATTACAGTAACATGACGGGTAGGACTGGATTGATTCAGATAAACACTAGAAGTTCCTGTTCCAGACCCCTTCTCTGTTCCTTGCGCAGATATTGTCACATCTGCTAGAGACTGAGAGAGTGAGATGGATTTACCAGTCACTTTGGTTTTTGTGATAGCATTCTGTGGGAGGGAGGATTTTCTGTTGACAATCAGAGATGTGTTTGGAGTTTTTGTGGTCTGAGTTGAAGATTCTGGTGTTTGATTTAAGTAAATGCTCGTGGTAAAAGATGGATTTTCTCCGTTTGATGTTTCTATCACAGATTTTGTTTGAGGTGGCATAATGGTCTCCAATTTGGGAATAGAACTACCACTCTCAGATTCTGGTAGGGACACAGTTAGAGGGCGCGCTGGAGGCTGCGGAAGGGGAGAGGTTGGATCTCTGATCACAGGTTTTGTTACTGGTGGTCCTAATGGTACTTTGCTGTACAGGTTTCCTTTAGGATTAAGAATTCCCATTTCTCCAAGTTTATTACGTATCACTTCAACCCAATCATCCATAACCTCCCTAGAGTTACAGGAGAACCTTATAGCTACAGTATCAAAATTAATGACGAAACTCCACTCTTGATCTGCCGGAATGATACTAGGAGAAATATGCTGGCATGCCACCAGTGGGAATATGTAAACTGGAGGCTTGCTGGCCACTTCTGTTGGTTCATGCCACAGTTCTAAGAAGGGATGAATATCATCATGTATGGAGAAAACAACCCAGAACCTGTCACTTTTCATCAGCTTTGCAAGTGCACTGGACTTCTTCTCGTTATATGGTAATCGTTTGAGGAACCCATTCTTATAGATTTCCCGAATAAAGAATGGAGGTCTATGATGAGCTGAACGAATAAATCCTGGAAAATCTGATGGTCCAGGGGGATGGGGTTGGGCAAGACCACGGATGGGTGGGGCTGACCCTCGTATAGGGGTACTACCTAATACGGAGCTGGTGGGTGGTTCTTCAACTGTATTAGTTGGAGGTATCCAGGCTAGGTTGTTGAGTAAAGATGTTGGTGTATGGGGAGGATCTTCTCTGCCTCCTGAGGGGTTACCACCACTCATGTCAGGGCTGCAAGCCAACATCAAGCTTCTGAAAAATAAATTTAAATAAATTTTTAGTATGCCTTTTATGTAATTAAACGTAAGCCTCCATGGAAAGAGGGCAATGCCCTATTCACAATGGTGCCCTTAAAACTTTTAACAAATTAAGTATAAGTTTGACATTAATGATTATAATCTTGAAAACTGATTAGATTTAAATTTTGGTTTCGTAACAAAAGTAACTTGCTCATTTCTACTGCAGGAAAACATAAGAATATGAGAAATCAACACTTTTAAACCTAGAAAAACGACAATATCTTCCACATCAGTGTTCTGATAAAAGTTTCCAGGGCACTTTTGTGAATGAAGGGTTACTTGAAATAACGCTTAAAGTCCTGGTAATCATAAAATATCAATTCATTAGAGTCTAATGCTAAAAAGTATTATGTTTGTTGAGTTAGTTTGCCCAACCATATTCTGAGATTTGATTATGAATAATTACTGATAAAAATGTGTTGCTCTGGGCAATTATGAGTTTAATCAAAGCTACACAATTCATCATGTCTGAATCCTAAAGGGTCTGAATCAGGGGTGAATAGTTTCCATATTTGGCGAGACCCCCCCCCCCCCCCCTTTCAAATTTACAAATTGAAAGGAGAAGAAAGAGGAGAAATTTCCCAAAAAAATGATTTCCCCCAAAATGTTAAACCATATAACTAGGCAACCATGTTACTAGGAAACAATGTAACTAAGAAACCATGGAACTAGGAAACAATGTCACTAGGAAACCACATAACTTGGAAACCATGAACTAGGAAACCATGCTACTAGGAAACCATATTACTAGGAAACCATGTTACTAGGAAACAATGTAACTAAGAAACCATGTTACTAGGAAACAATGTAACTAAGAAACCATGGAACTAGGAAACCATGTTACTAGGAAACCATATAACTAGGAAACCATGTTACTAGGAAACAATGTAACTAAGAAACCATGGAACTAGGAAACAATGTTACTAGGAAACCATGTAACTAGGAAACCATGTTCATAGGAAACCCCATAACTTGGAAACCATGAACTAGGAAACCATGCTACTAGGAAACCATGTGACTAGGAAACCAAGCTACTGGGAAACCATGTAACTACGGAACCATTAACTAGGAAACCATGTTACTTGGAAACCATGTAACTAGGAAACCAAGTAACTAGGAAATCACATAACTTGGAAACAATGTAACTTGGGAACCATGTGACTAGGAAACCATGTAACTGGGAAACCATGTTACTAGGAAACCATGTGACTAGGAAACAATGTAACTAGGAAACCATGTAACTGGGAAACCATGTTACTAGGAAACCATGTAACAAGGAAACCTAGTAACTAGGAAACCATGTAACTGGAAAATATGTAACTAGGAAACCATGTTACTGGGAAACCCTGTAACTAGGAAATCATGTAACTAGGACACCATGTAACAAGAAAACCTTGTAACTAGGACACCATGTAACAAAGAAATCATGTAACTAGGAAACCATGTAACTAGGAAATCATGTAACTAGGACACCATGTAACAAGAAAACCTTGTAACTAGGACACCATGTAACAAAAAAATCATGTAACTAGCAAACCATGTAACTAGGTAAATATGTATCCAGAAAACCATGTAACTAGGAAACCACGTAACTGGGAAATCATGTAACAAGGAAACCATGTAACTAGGAAACCATTTTGTGACGAAAAATACCAATACAAAACTAGGAAACCATGTAACTAGGAAACCATGTAACTAGGAAACCATGTAACTAGGAAACCTTGTAACAAGGAAAACATGTAACTAGGAGACTATAAAATTAAGAAACTATGTTTCTAGGAAACCATGCAATTAGAAAACCATGTAACTAGGAAACCATATGTAGCTATAAGAAACCATGTAACTGCGAAACCATGCAAGTAAAAAATCATGTAAGTAGGAAACCATGTAACTAGGAAATCTGTCACTAGGAAACCATGTACCTTGGAAACCATATAATTAGGTAACCATGTAACTAGGAAACCATGTAACTAGGAAACCATGTAACTAAGAAACCATGTAACTAGGAAACCATGTAACTAAGAAACTTTATAACCAGGAAACCATATAACTAGGAAACTATAAGAAAACCACAAGTAAGCTAGACAATGGCCCCCAAAAAAGAATGAATAGAGGGAGGGGCGGAAAGTGAGGGGGGTAGGGACAGGGTAGGGGGGAGATTGTTTAACCACAGTTTACACATTTGAAAGAAATTCCAGCAAATGCACTCGTTACTAATTTCAAAATATTAATAATACGTTGTTTAAACATTTAACTATACCCCTGAAGGCATCGTTGTTTAAAATTTGCCATGCTAAACAGGAATACATAGAGATTAAAGATTAAGAATATAGAAAACAGGAATACATAGAGATTAAAGATTAATAAATTTGAAAGAAGAAATTTGTTATGAAAAAAAAAACTTTACTTCTCCAGAGTCCTGATTGATATCAGCAATAAATAATTATCAATTAATATATATTGGAAATTACCTTCTCTCCTTCTCTGGAGTTTAACCATTTCCAACTGAATCATATGATCAGTGCACACCACAGGTGAAATCTCCAGGATTTTTATAAAGTCGTCTTCGCCCAAACTATTTTTTTCATTTTTAATCAATGGGTCAATTCAATAATATTCCTAACTTTTAGTATATCACAGAAACATATGAAAGAAATTTTATAGTTTGCAATTATACTTTTTTAGTTTTAATTTCTCTTTTTTATTGTTGACATGGTGAACTTCTAAACCACTTTGAGTCTTCCTTAAATCCCCCCTCATCACGACCTGTCTAAATGTCGGGTCGGGCCCATTTTCAGGCCTGCTCAGAGCCGTGCCGGCCCATGGTTTCATTAAAACAACGTATTGCCCACCCTTCTATATATTCGGGGTCCTGCTGAGATGATGTGCTAAACCAGACGTAATAGGTCGGACAGGGCCGGAGGATTTTGCAGGTGTCCGAACCCGACTAAGCTGTTGGGCCGGTACGGATAAAAGATGGAGCCTCAATGCCGAGCCGGTATAGCAAAATCAGAAAGAAAACAGGCTGTAGGTCGAACCCGTACAGATTCTGAACCGGCTTGACGATAGCTCCACCAAACGACACTACAGAGAGTAAATACAAAGTAGAAATGTCGGCCGCAAAATATTCTGTCTCCATAGTTAATCAGTGAAACATTATGGAAAATAACAACTGCGAGGTAATTTAAATAAAAAATATGAATTATGAATATGTTAGAAAATATTGTGTAAAATTTGAGAATTGAATATTTATTGGTTTTTAAGATATAAGCCTTAATAAAATATTATTGAACGTGACATATAAATATGAGAAATGGATGTAAGAAACACACACGGCACAATAATACTTATTAGGCACTTACAAACATCGGAACTAAAATTTCAATTAGATTATAAATAAAAGTTTTTAAAAATGTTTCAAGATTTTAAAAATTTGATAAGATGTTTTTGAATATTATTGTACATGGAATATGTATGCAATATTTTTTATTATTGATAAAAAGTTTTAGAATTACATATTTTTAATTAATAATAATAATCAATGAATTCATGCATTTGGTAATTTCCTAGAGAAAATTAATGGTCATGTACAAAATTGAGAATTGAAATTGAGGGAGAAGGAGGGGGGTCCAAAAAATCGTTCTTTGGGACAGACCCATGCATTTCTTATAGATTTCCCGAATAAAGAATGGAGGTCTA